ACATTCCCCCCCCCCCACCTGCGGCTTCAAGTCTTGTGTCTTTCGCTATAATATACATTTACATAGAAGATCTATGGCAGGGACACTGGTGGAGAGGGAACGGTGCAGCCATCATGGGAGCCCACATCACTACTGGAACTGGCTACAGGCTACACAGCTAGCCAAAATATTATTTGAAGTTATATTATAAATTAGGAAGTTTTTATGATTAGAAAATGTATGTGGTTAAAAAATAATGGGACATTTAGACGCCCCGAGAGACTTTTTCGGGACAACGGGTATGAATGGTACGATCGTGAAAAACGGGTCAATCCCGTTTTCACGGGACGTTTGGTCACCCTACCCTATCAATAGAATTAGAATAGTAATAGATTTTAATAGACACTTTTTAAAAAAAAAAAGCTAGCACAACCCAAAAGAAAGTGTAAGTTATGACACCTAGGGCACTATCCAATCTAAATTATTAAGAATCTTAATTAATAATATAAATTAAAGATTATCAACTCTTTCGATGCGGAACAACGCACACTGCGTTCTTCCGCCGTTCTCAAAGGCACGGACCAACGCGCTGTGCGTTGTTTCAATATCATGTTTCTTTCTTTGCTATTTCTCGGTTAAACTTTTTAAAAGCTATTTTTAAATAAGACTTTTACATAGAAGAGTGGCACTTCATTGTTTACAATCGAAACCAAGGCTTATTTATTGTCAATTGAAGCATTATTTTGACGATTTTCTTCGCGTTTTTTTTTTCCTGTTGCTATGGCTACCCTAGGCTCTAGTAGGTAAGTTTCCTAGACGATTAACAGTTAAAAAAAGCTTTGAAATTGTTTTATAATATTTCTTTTGACAGCGAAGATGATTTATATTTAGATACATCGCATGATTCCGATGGTAGTAGTTTTAGAGGAATTGAGTTATAGAATTGAAGATGAGGTATGCGTATATCATTGGGTTTGGGGAAAAATGGTTTAGCATAAAATGTTTTCACATTTTATGGTTCTTTCGTGTAACTTATTTTTTTTTAAACTGTAGAAACTAGTGTACAAATATTTAGTCCTTTCAATTACCTTTCATTTGATATTAAGTTTAGTCTTATAAACCAAAGAATAATATTTTAAATATTTTTTAATAAACCCAACCTCTCACTCTTTTTCCGCTTTCGAAAAAAATTTACATTTTTTCGATGAAAAAATTCCGCAGCGAAAGAGTTAAAGAACGGTGCGTGAATGGTATTCGCTGATAGTGAATGATAGCAAGATAAGATTAACTTAAATTTTTTAAGTTAAAAAAATTATTGTTATTAACGTTTTATTATATAGCGCAAATTAATGAAATCCTAACCACTATTTCGATCATGTATTTGTAATAACTTGATTTTTAATAACCTTTTTCACTCCAACTTTATAACATTGAATCCGTCATTTCGTAACAGTAACATCAATGACATTAGAAATCGTTTGGTAATATGAACAATAAAGTGAATGGAGCATAGAAGAGTTCAGTTCCGGTGTCACATGAGATGAGAGCTCTCTTTTTTGTGAAGATAATATCTTAGTACTGTAATCTTATCATTTATTTAAAAGAACCATTGAAACCACTTTACATAATTAATCATGGTACGGTACACAAAAATTGAATGCGGACTTAAAAGACGTTTTCCTTTTTTTCCCCTTGCTCCTTAGGTGTTTCGAGAGTTTCAAGGCTGCCCTGGCATCCTCTAGGAGTATCCGTTAGGATATCCGCATTTTCTCCCCAAACCGTTGCACATATGCCAGATCATGGATGCAGCAACGTACCCTATCAGAATATAGAAACTGAAACATATAGTTATAGACACAGCAGGGTAGTGCGAATGGTAGGAGGGGATGGAGAGAACAGTGACAAACAGCTGTCAAAAGTAAAAAAGTGTAGTCTTAAATTGTCAGTCTATATATTATAATTATAAATTAAGCTATTTGGCCGATATGGTGGACAATCAGTTACTCGGTTAGGAATGGGGGGGAGGGGGGAATTGCTGGTTGGTTTGGTACTACCTCACTCTAAAAATGTACCCAATATTTACAGACAAAATTAAATTAATAAGAAAAACAAAGGATCATTTAATTTATTGTTATCTTTTACTTTTATTAAACTTCAAAAGAAAGCATGCAACATTTTCTGTTTAATAATTTAGCAGTGCTATGAGAACAAAGAGACAAGAATGATGTCCTCTGATCCTTTGAACAATAAATAAATCATTTGCAATTAAGTAGTGGCCAGATTTCCTCAGAAATATAGGAACATTATTAAGCCACTGAAGAAATAAAAATGAACACATTGAGAAAAACAATACAAAAGTTGCTAAAAAATTTCAAAGCATCATCCATGTCCTCACTGCAATTACACTTGTAGGCTACAGACATATTCCTGACAATTTCAATTATTCCTTTTATTTCTTGAGATGGAAGGTATCTGACAATTTCAATTATTCCTTTTATTTCTTGAGATGTAAGGTATTGGAATACTAGAAATAGGCTGTGTAATTTGTATTACTTAGTAATAGGGTTTTTATATATTTTTGGAAACAACATGCATAGCATTAAAAACTTCAAATAGTGTAGACAGATAGGGCATTTTGAGAGGTTTGGATAGGGCTGAAAACCAAATTTGTAACACTATGACTTGATTACATAGCTTCTCTATTACTACACACTCTACGATTATGAGTTCAGTAAACCAATGACAATATTAGTTATGTAAGATACAAGATACCACTGTCACGCACACAATTATAATGTAGATAAATATGTGCACTCGCTAACAAATAATGTGGTCCCAATACATAATATGTAGTAACTGATAACAACATACAGCAATGGTGAAATACAGATCTAATAAATACTAAACAACAATGAAACAACAACGTCTCACTTTTGATTTATACAAGTGGTAAACATGTTTTTATTGAAAGAAGTGGCAGTCAATAGCAAGAGGTTTTATATACAGATAAATGCCAATCGGATTCTTTGATACTTGTTTGAGAATGCAAGAGGAAACAACAACAGTGCAACAGAGAACAATATTTTGGTTTTTAGTTGAGATAGGGAAGACTTAATCAGGGTTCATCTTAATACTGGAATAATGCTCAGTCATTGAGTAACATTAAATTTACAGCGCACGTGTGGAAGTACTAACAAATCTTTATTTTCCTGAGACCTTTGGCCTTTTCAACCATGGCATTGATGTCCAGAAATCAACACAATGACACGACTTTAAGGAAACAGTGTAATGATAATATATCAAATGCATTATCCATTTACATATGCAAAATGTTAATTCAGAAATAATGTATCGATTTTAGTTTTGTATAAAATATAGATAAATCTAAAATCGGGTCAAAACAAGCCTAAAACAACCAGGCTTGCTTTATTGAATTATTGCTTGTGCTGAATAGGTTAATAAATATGAGTTTATTTGGGCTGTTCTATGGCTCATTTATGGAACTACATTTGTTGTCAGTTATGTTTTAAAAGTAAAAAAATAATAATAGATATTTGATTCATATAGAAACAAAAATTAAATTATGTTTTGTATCTTTAGGATATGAAATCGGAATTGATTATAAAAATTCAAGCACATTTCAATGTCTACATGATTAAATGTTAACTTACAGCATACAAACTAAAACAAAAAACAACCTGGCAAAATGTTTATTTTTTCTTGGGATAACCAATAGGATGAGAACTTCAAATTCAGTTCATCTAAATAGTCTACACGTTTTGATGGCCAGTGAATTAGTTCAACTCAATTTATGAATTATAAAAATGAAAAATGCTTTATCATTTTGAATTGAGTGCCAATTATTTTGAGTTTAGCTGCTGTCAAATTAACAAAAAAATTAAAATTGGAAGCTCATTAATCGTTATAGGCACAATATATACAAACTTAATATAAACATGCCATGAGCAAAAAATGCACAAAGTTGAAATAAGTCATGGCTCATTCATGGCTCATCACTTTGTGCTGAGAGGAAGGTGAGGAGAATCCTAAGATACACATTTTTGAAAGTTTAGCTCAGAAGAACAAAACCAAGCTGCTATCAAGTAAAATATTAGCTACATTTTAAATAAATAAATAAGTTTACCAATATATGTTTACTGAACACAAAGGATTTTTGGGACAAAAATCTGTGCAACACATGCTGTTTTTTTTTTTTTTTTTTTTTTTTTTTTTTTTTTTTTTTTTTTTATATTTTTTTTTTTTTTTTTTTTTTTTTTTTTGTTTTTTTTTTGTTTTTTGTATTCATTTTTTTTTATCTTTTTTTTTTTTTTTTTTTTTTTTTTTTTTTTTTTTTTTTTTTTTTTATTACACAATAATTGTTGATTTCACGGTTTAAAGAACCTGATTGAAATTTTATTAGAAGTGAGTAACAGATCTAAAAATTCTGGAACTGATACTACATTTTATAAAGATCATTTGATTTAGAAGCCATTATTCGAAAGCAAAAGAAAAATTTGTAACCTTAAACATTTGGCAGACGAGTGGCTTAAATAAATCCATTCAAAAAGCCCTTTTTGATAGGAGACATACACAAGTTTATACAATGCAAAAAAAATTGTTAGCGGCAAATGCAAGATGACGCTTCATCATTGTAGAAGGAAGCACTAGGTAAACAACCAGAGATAGTGGCCAGAACAAGAGTATATAAATGAACACAAGGTAAGGTTCCTGGATGAACACACTAGGAGGCAATCTCTTTTTGATTATTACACATGACTTTGAGGGAACAACATGTGACAAGCCAATGTCACAGGATCAGGCAATGCTCTTTTTACAAACCAGAAAACAAAACACCACCCAAAACTCATTCTCACTGTCATTGATTTTAACACCATCACTTACTAATTGCTGCAAAGAAATTATAAGAGAAAGAAGCTTTTGCCCCCCCCCCCCCCCCCCCCCCCCCCACACAAAAACAAAAAAAATAAAAAAAAAAAAAAGCTTTTCCCCCCCCCCCCCCCCCCAAACGATAATGAAAATAGAAAAAGATGTCCAATTAGATGTACAATTTTATATCAGCTGTGCACTAAACATTAGTGGACATTTGTTGATGTATCAACAAGACAAAATTGTTGATGTATCAACAATTTCTAGGCACTACGGTGGTTTGCATAGAATATATTGGAAAAAGATGTGGCTGGTAAATTTCATAATTCAAATTGAATTTATCCACCATATGCTGCTCAGATTGAGAAATGTTTGTATCTGTTGAAAGACCTAAATGGTGTCTTCAAGCCTTTTGAATGGAGATTTCTGTGGACTTTGCTGGTGGCGGAAGCTCTGGTGTTTTTGTGGGGAATGAGGCAGGGTTGCCAGGGAGAGGTCTATGTTTTCCTTGGCTGCCTCCAAGTCTTTGGTTGTCTTGGTTACTGCAGGAAAATATAAATAAATGGATTTAGTGGAAGTATTATTGATAATATCTAAGTGTGGAATATTTAGAAAATCAGAATTGCACATCAAGAATCCTCTGTGCATCAATATTCTTCTAAAAATGATATTGAACATTCCTCTTATTTCGATTACCATCAAAAGTTACAATAAATCACCACCATGAGTTACAATAATCCTTATAATTTATAGCAGAAATAGGATAGGGGTCATCCATAAAAGACGTCCACACAAAAGGGGGGAGGGGGGGGTTCAGCAAAAAGTGGACTAAAGTGGACAAGGGGGGGAAGGGGGTTTAGGACAAAGTGGATGTCCACATTGTAGTGTTTTTTTGAGTGCAACAGTTTTGCATAAATTTACTGCTAAAAACTTCTAGTTTAATGACAAAAGAGTTGGGATGCAAACCCAAACAAATCTTTCACAAACTGAGTGGTTAAATTTAGAAACGATTTTTTCAATATTAATAATTAATACGCTTGAATATTATTGTAAAAATATGTTGTTAAAGTTGGATTTGTCAAATACAATAACATCTCAAATAACAGTTTTGTTAAATTCTTAGAGTTTTTCCAGAAAATCTTTAATGATTTTTATTTTGTGTTGGGGTTAAAAATGACTGGAATATTTGAATTTGACTTTATTTTTTATTAAAAAATTAGATATAGGACAACAAATTATTTTCCTAAAAAATGTAAAAATATATTTAAATTTAAAAATACAATCTTAATCTAAAAAACAAATTTCAGTTTATGCTGCATGTATTATCAAGGATGGTCGTGTGACCTATTCCGGACCAACATCCATATCAATAAGGAGTGGTAAACATGATTCCAGTACTGCTGCATCACATGTTGCAGATTTTGATGTACTTGTCTCTCTTGATATTTTCAAGAATGTGGCATGTACAAATGGTGGACTAGTAAAGCCTATAGCAATTATTACCGTTGACGGAGGCCCATACGAGAACCCACGTTATCCAAAAACATTGAATGCTGCGTATAAATTGTTTACCAAGCACAATCTTGATGCTTTCTTTATAGCGTGTAATGCTCCGGGTCACAGTGCCTACAATGCGGTAGAACGACGAATGGCCCCTTTGTCTCATGACCTGTCAGGCCTCATTCTTCCCCATGATCATTTTGGATCCCACTTGGACGCAAATGGTAAAACTATAGACCAAAACTTTGAAAAAGCAAACTTTAAAAAGGCAGGGGAAATACTCGCTGAAGTTAGGGGTCAGGCTGTCATTGATGGCTATAATGTGCACGCACAGTATGTTGAACCAAGCAGCACAAGCACAAATCTTCCGTCTCCCTCTGTGAATTGGTGTTGGAATCATGTGCAAGTCTCAATATTCTCTGCAGATCATCAAATGTAATGATGTAACATGCTGTGGAGCAAGACGAACCAACTGTAATGAACTATTTCCCAAACGCTTCATTCCAGCTCCGGTACCTTTTATTAGTCATGAAGCAGGCGTCATGGCTGCAGCTATTGGTAGTAGTAGTGGTACTTATGGATCACTGTTCCAGAGGCTTGCACTGATTGGTCTGGAGCCCGATCACAGTTACAGTAGCATGCCTTTTGATCTCTATTGTCCATCGGTGGCTGGGAGAATTTCCAAGAGAATATGTTTCTGCGGTAAATATTTCCCATCACAGGCGGCAATGAAAAAACATAAGGTCGTCCATTGCAATATTCCTGCTAGTGAGCATAATATGGCAGACGAATCAGATGAAGAGACTGCCACTCAAATTGAATTAGCAATTGAAGACTCAAGAACAAATGTTGTCATTATACGAAACATGTTTGAATGGCTGCAGTCCGAATTTTCCGTTGATTGAAGAATGGTGGATTATTTGTTTATTACATCTTTTAATACAGTGATTCATTAAATCTTTTTGAACAGTTATTATTTCATTTAGAATTTTGCCTGCAAATAATTGGAATTTCTAAAAAAAATCTTTGTAAATACAAACTCTTTATATTGTTGTACATTTTCCCAAATTATTCATTAATTTAAGTTCGGTAAATTTTATGTTTTGGACGTCCACAACGGGGGAGGGGGGGGGTCAAGTCAAAACTGGACAAAAGTGGACAAAGGGGGAGGGGGGGGTAAAAAATAGCAAAAAATTGGTGGACGTCTTTTATGGATGGCCCCATATTGGATTATTAAGTAAATGAGGATTTTGAAAAACAATGACTGTTCAAGACAAACATTAAGTTAATTTATGCAAGATGAAAGTCATTACTAAAGCATTCAACTTCAACATTATTCCACTATGACACTTGATTAAGATTGTAAAACACTGCACCGCAGAATTAAATCACTTGCAGTTGTAACATTCTGAATTGGATACTTAAAAACTAAATCTGGTATTTTTCAAGGGATAAAACAAATCACGTCATTGCAGAAAATCTTAGTAATATAGCTTGATGAGGTCAAAAAAAGAAGAAAAAGAAAAAGAAAGTAGCTTCATTTTGAACTGTGTTAGTTTTAACTTAAACTTGATATGAATTGATACATTTCGGAAGAAAGAAAAGAAGTCCAGCAATCAAGGTCACTTAAGAAATGAGTAGTGTAGACTCAAAGGCTTAGATAGGAAAAGATGGAAATTAGGAAGGTAATAAGACCCCCCTTATACTTGTTATAACAATTAATATTAAAATTTTAGCGAGATATTATTAAATACACAAGTATAAGATGCTAGTAAGTAAAATCATCAAGTTCTGTTAGTGAAAAAGTAAAAATAAGAGGCAACAAACAAAAATAGTAAAATATATAGATATATATTCAAGTATATAAAACACACATTTCTTTTTGCCTTCACCCTTAAAAAAGCTAAAACTAATTTCTATTATAGCCAGAAAGCATAAGTGGAAAAATTCACAGCAATCACTCTCACACTAACAAACCCAGGCTTCTTAATTATAGGACTGTACAATGTCTGACTAAACAGAGCATCTGTGAGCAATAAACAAAACATGCTGTAAGTTAACAGAATACCTATCATCAACTGAAACAAGCACACCAGCCCTGGCATACCATGACCAGTTATAGCATTTAAGTTTATTTACATAATAACCCTAACCCACTATTGCACTGCAGAATACACACATACAAACAAACAAATTTAGGTGGCAGTAGACAAGGTAGTACCCCCACCAACCCCATTTCTACTAGCCGTGGCCAACTTGCAGGGTGACAGTCTTTTCCCTAGGCTAAGAGGGGAAGAAATCAAGGTCATGAACAATTTTTATCCCGCTTTTAGCTTCGTTGTGGTTGCCGCCGATAAAACACTTGGTGGCACTGATACTGGGCATGTCTTCCCATGGTCCCCTTTAGCCTGAAGCTTGGTCTCAAGCCCCCATTTCACATAATCATATTTAGTAGAATTAGGCCCATCTTCGATACACATTCACAAACTATAATTTCAATTATCATTTCCTTTTGTCAATTCTAATATTTCCTCTAAACACCAATAGATTTCTGGAGTAAGTTGAACCATTTTGTTCTCTCTCTCTCTCTTATTAGCTTAGTTCATGGTTTTGGGGTATGTCATTTGCCAAAATCTCTGCTGTCCAAACAACAAGCAAGGTTGATTTTCAGAGCAAGAATAAGTAAATTTTTTGATGATGTACCAACAAGTCTATTATGAGGCTAGGGAGCCACATTAACATTTAACTTACACTGCTTGTAAAGCGATGTCTCCCAGCCTTTATGCCTTTCACTGCTTGTATTCATTCTGCTCTGCTGATCTTTGGCGGTTTGGTTCAGCTGCTCCAGACGGGAACGAGTCATTGACAATTCGTGTTTTAAATTGTCATTCTAAAAAAAAAACACCATGATTTATAAAAAAATATGGAGAGGATGGAAAAAAAATATAATTGGCTATTGTTGCTGCTACTCATGCATACGGCCAGTATTTTTTTGGATACATCGTGTTGTGCAATTAAAATAGATTATCTAAAGACGAGTGCGAATATACTTTTATTCCCACAGTTTGATCCCCAGGTTGATAAAAATCAATTTCACTCACTTGCACTGCTAGAAGTGGATCATAGAAATGTCCCAGGGCATCGACGGGAGGTAACTCCGTTATCCAGGCTGTAGCAACAAGTCGATTTGCTTCATCCAGACAGACCCGTAGATTGTGACAGGCCATTGACACCTCTCTCATTGTGCTGTAGTCAACACTCTGGTGGGAGGTCATCAAGAATTTTAATAGTTTATAAGGTTCATGAAAAAATGAACATTAAATTTCCACTTGATACCCTTTTACAGAAATTTCACAGTCTGAGTTCAATTACTATGAGAAGTAATATGAAATCAGGTAAGATGAGATATGAGATCAGGTAATATAAATAAAATAACTATATCATTTTTTAAATTTTAGCTCAAACAACTTGAAGTATTTTGAATATTTTTTTTTCTTCCTTTCTCTTTAAATTATAACTAAAATTGTATAATCGTTCATTCATTTGCTATTTACTAATATTTTAAAAAAATTTAAAATAAAATTCTGGACAATGCAAGAAATCAAGATGCTGTTATAACAACGTCATTGACATAAAACCCACATATCTAATCCTGAATCTGGGCAGTGACAGGAGGGGGATTGAGGTTAACATTGTATACAAAGTTGGATGCACCTGCACCTGAGATTACATTCTGCATTACACATCCTAATAAAGTAAATGACCGACAGAACCCCGAATCCACATGACTTACGGCATAAATTAAAAACTTCAGCTTAAATTCTTAAATCAGACTATTTTGCGCTTGATAGATCCCCATGCTTTCTGGGAGATTCAACATTCATATGTCCAGATTACATCATCCTATCATGCACTTAGACTTGATAACATGCCCAGTTTGTTATTTAATATGTCAAACAGCATTCATATTTTAGTGGAAACTGAAGCAGTGAATTTTCCAGACTTCTTATTTTTAAAACATTTTTTTGTCACAGCAATTTTTCATTTATAATATCTAAATTATTGGCATAGCATATTTCCATCAATTATTACTAGAGGAAGACCACAGAGCAGATGGAGAAGGACCCTTCACAGTGACCGAGAGAAATGGTGAGAAGTGGTATGAGCAAGAAAATGATAGCTTGCAGCAGAGATAAAAAATTAGTGAATGGCCATTTCACACCTAGTCGTTGGAGCAGATAAGGCAAAGAAGAAGAAAGAAGTTACCATGCACTAGAAACAATGCATTTAAATTTTTTTTAAAATAGTTTATCCTCCATGCCAAGGTAACTGGAAATATTATAATTTATTTACCCGTATCCGCTATTTCAAGAAAAAAATAAAATAAAACAAGCATAAAATCGCAGATCTGAAAAAAGCATTTCATATTTTTAAAAAAACCTAATTTCTAGATTTGGACTTTTAGTAATAAATAATATCAGACTGTCCTAAAATTTAACAACTTGAAGGAGCTTTGCACTACCTCATACCTCCAACTGATCATAGTTGATATTTTCAGACAACTCTCCATTGTTATTTACTATTCACGGTTGACCACAAGTTTTTACCCCAGCCTCTGACCTACCTCCGCCACTGGTTTTGCCTTGTAAGTCCTCAGTCTGTCAGTCAGCCTGGCATCCATCCCACTCAGTGTGACCAAACTTTCACTGATTTCCTTGCGCAGTTTCTCATGGACGTCCAGCTTGAGCACAGCAAACAAGCTGCGAATGTCTGAGCTGATCAAGCTCTGGGGGACTCGCTCTGATGGTGATGGAGAAAAGGGGGAAGTAATGAATTGCTCTCAATGATTCTAGATGTGACCTAATTTTGTTTGAATGTTGAAGAACTATTAAAAACAGAAAATATTGTTAAGAAAATTTGAAAACAGTTGCTTGGGGGGAAAACAAAATAGATAAATGTACAGACAAAATAGCAGATCTAACTTACCTGATGAGAAGGGCAGACCACTGTCGACAAAGTACTTGAGTTGTGAGGGAGAGTGGCCCAATGGACCAGAGCCAGTTTGTGCACGATGATTTGGAGATCGATTTATCTGTGCCGTTAAAGCTGAAGAATGTTGGTCTAGCTTGTAATCATCGTAGACGGGGAGGTCAAGTTCTCCATAAGCCTCTGAAAGAGACAACAATTTTCTTTTAAAAAGTAAAATAATTTTGACTGTATAAATAATGATAAGAGTGCTGAAAGTAATTTATGACCAACGGTTGTTGGTTGGATTTACTAAGACTTGTCCTAGAAGATGCAGCAAGATGCCTAATGAGGTCAGTGATCTGAAATACACATACAATTTGAAACACCATTTCTTTAAAAGTCATACCTAAACATTCCATCTGATTTTATCTTGTAGGGTGAAAAAAAAACTTGCGAAAGGCATGAGAATGAACACTGCAATAAAACTGCATGGATGACAAAGACATTCTTTATAACAGTGTTTCCCAAACATTTAAGTTTGGTGGACAAGTTTCAAAGCTGAAACAGGGAGCTGTGCCAGATCTATCAATTATATTTTCTTTTTATTTGACCCTAAATATTCATTATTCATGTTGTGTGGACCAGAAACGCAAGGGCCGGTCAATGGACCACCATTTAGAAACACTGTTTTAGAAGGTAAACCTACCAGCATCATCATGAGCGCCACCATGGTCTGATCTAGAGTAGAGGGGACTAGCCGGAGCTGTGGTACTTGCTGTGCTGGTGGTGGTGGTACTTATACTGATGGTTGAAGAGCTGCTGTATGTTGCATCCACCAGAACTGATAAACAAGGAGATTTTTGTTAACATTAACATTCATGAGGAGGGATGTCAATGTAATTCCGTTTAGCTGTTTACAGGTATGCCCATCACAAGTGCACAACATTGTCCAACTTTTCCATTATCAAAGTACAAGCTATAGCCCACCGAACGAAGGCAGCCACAATGTGACTAAAGTTACTTAACAAAACATGTATTCAAGTAATGGAATTTATAAGATTACAAATTAGTATTACCCCCCCCCCCCAAAGTCACTGCCCCATAACTACATTACTATTCTAATTTCCCACATCCACTTTTACGCCTCAGATTTATTATCAATTATACCCATTACTCCCGTAACACAGAAAATACTACATGCCAGAATCTCACTTAACTCAGTTATCTATTTTATTTAGTGAAATCAGCGCTAACTGGTAGTGCTGAAGAAATAGTTACTTGAGAATTATGTATTTTGATAATTACCGTTNGCCCCCCCCCCCCCCCATATTTACCTCCTTCGGCAGGTGTGGCGGCTCGCTTGTGTTCCAACTTTGAGAGCAGATCCTCCACCTGACGCTGCGTGGCCAACAGTTCAGACAGCAGCTGTTTCATGATGTCCTCTTTTTCCTCCTCTAAAAAAAACAATTGAACGTAGACGTGGTGTCTTGTTGGTGCATAGGTTACAACACATTAGCTGCTCAGTTTTACCTCAGTGAAATAAGAAAATGTGAGGAAATTAATTAATGTTGCAAATGAAAATGTCCAACTTACGACTGGAACAGTTGAGAGTAACTTCACACAAGTGCATACGCCTCCTCAGACTCAATATCAGTTCTTGCCTTTCCTTGGCTGTGTTTTTCATCCTAAAGAGACAGATCATGTGTTCTAAATGAGTGATCAATAATTGGTAATCTTTTGAATTATGTGACTGCTTTGCCAAGTTGAGTCCAAGTCGTCCATCTTCATCAAATGAAGGTTTTCATCATACTGAATAAAAATTAAACTGCTGACCTGGTCAGTCCATTTCCCATGGCCGACCCACGTTCACACCAACTACCTCCAGATTATACATGCCTTTGCACTACTTACATAATATAAATTATTATAAATATTAATGGATACATATATACAAAATAAATACTGTACTAAAAAGTCTGGTAACCTATACTTACTTGACAAATGCCAAGTCCAGCTTCTTGTGTTGACCAAGCAGATGATGCAGCTGTTTGTCTCTCTTCTTCACCTTCTCCTCTCTCTCCTTCAAACTTTCCTCCACCCTGACTTTCTCCTTCTGTAACTGCATCAGATCATCCTGTGACTTGCCCAACACCTCAGTCAGTCTGCTAACCTCTGCCTGAACTGGACCCATGGCCTTTACTCGCTCCCTAAGTTCATTCTCCGATTTCGTTTTGTTGTCCAGTAAAAAGTTCAAACGCCCCACTTCATCCTGGAGCCCTGACATTGACATAATTTTTCCTTTGAGGGAGCTCACCTGGTCCTCCAGGCCGAGCTTCTCTTGTCTGAGAATGTCCATCTGATGGTTGAAATTTCTCCTGTCTTGCTCCATATCAGCCTCCACCCTGGCCATCAACCTCATCTTATCTTCATTCATCCTCTTCAGCTCTGCATCATGTTCCATCTCTGTCTGGGTCATCAGGTGCTCGGCGTCCTCAAGCTTCATTTTCAGTTTCTCCACCTCCGAGGCATGCGCACTCCCCTTGGACAGCATATCCTGCCTCAGCGTCTCCAGCTCAGCTTCTAGTCTTTTAATCTGGGCGTCCCTCTCTGTCAGCTTGTGGTCCACGTTGATCTTCTCTGTGGCCAACTTCTTGACCACAAGAACCTTTTCTTGGAGGGTCTTCTCCCTCTTGATGATGACCTCTTTCAGACACTTGGAGCTCTCCTTGTACTCCTCCACCTCCTGGTTCAGCGTCTGATACTTCACCTCACATTGCTCCATGTCAGCCCGTAGCCTTTTGAGGTCACTCTCGGCGTTCTCCTTGGCCAGCTCCAGTTTGAACATGGACTTTTCCAAATCTAAGAATTCCCTTTCTCGTTTCATCAAATCTTCCTCAAGCGCTGCCTTCTCTGACTGATTCCTCTTGAGCTCCTCATCTTTCTTTCTCTCATTCTCAGTCATTTGTTCTAATTCATTTTTAAAGCCATTGATAATGACTTCCTGTTGGTCTATAGTAGAGCGCTGGGACAAAAGAGATTTTTGCAGCTGGGAAATGGTTTGTTCCAGTTTCTCTACAAGCAAGGCCTTCTCCCTGATCAGCCTGTGCTGTGTCTCAGCCAGTTCTCGTTGCCACTGAGCTTCTCGGTCCACCATCTTTTGCTGTAATTGTGAGATGAAGGCATCCTGACGTGCGATTCGCTGGTTCATGTGTGTCTGGAAGATCAGGAGCTGCTCTATAAAGTTCAGAGAAAACAAAACATAAGACATATGTGAGAAACGGGGAATGAAAAACTATTATACATCATGAACAAAAATGAAAACTGTATATAGAATTGAACAAAATGAAAATTGTATATAGATTAGAACTGAAAAAACTGAAAACGTCATATAGAACTGAAAAAATGAAAACTGTATATAGAACTGAAAAAACTGAAAACTGAATATAGAAATGAAAAATAAAATGAAAACATTATATAGAACTAAAAAGAATGAAAACTGTATATAGAACTGAAAAAAAAAAAAATGAAAACGTTATATTTAACTGTAATCAGATCAGTTGTGAAAGACACGAGAGAAACTTAACAAAAGAGCAGAAAAGCAATTAAAATCATGGGAGAGAAAAGTTCTCTGGAAAATATACGGACAGAGAATGAATATGGAAGGAGAATACAAACCAATCATGAATTGTATGGACTATACCAGAATCCCACACTAGTGGCAGAAATAAAAAATGCTGAGCGGGACACTTAAAAAGAATGCCAAATGACAGGAGTAAAGATGAATAGATGATGTGAAAAAAGACATACAGCAGCTGGGAATCCAAGGATGGAAAAGAAAAGCATCAGTTAGGTCTGAGTGAAGCAATGAGGCAGGCGAAAGCCCTACAAGGACTGTAGCGCCACAGGGACGGGATGGAAAAATAAAATAAATTGTAATGATATTTTAGCATGATGTGATGTTGGAAAAATGCTATAAAAGAATTACAGTTTTACATACAAATATGATATAATTATAATCAATCAATACATATTACATTTTGTTTTAAAAATTGTGAATAATTTGCCTGTGTTCACCTTAAAAGAATGTCTGAAGGCAGTGACATTCCAATTGTCAGAGAAAATCTTTACAGAACTTTATTCTCATCAAGCCCTATTGCAAAATGTATTTTGTGAATTGTGATAATATTTGGTGCTGTTTTAATATAGTAAGATGGTGTTAGTAATTTATTAACTTGTGGCAATATTTGGTAAGGTTACAAATTTAGTAAGATGTGACAATATTAAGTGCTGTTTCCAACTTCATAAGTTGTGACAATGTTTGGTGCTATACAATGTTTTTTCCTCTCCTATTTTCTCTCTCACCTGGGTTGTTGGTCACATCAAGTCTCTCAAGTCTCTGACGCAGCTTTCTAATCTCAACCAGATGCTGCCGCAGTAGGTCCCCTTCACTTTCGGGCCTGGGAGTGCTCAAGTTTTCAGTCAATGAGAAAGAAACCTGAGTTCCTGTTGAGCGCTGGAGAGCCTCAAAGAGGCTGACCTCTTCCCTCAGAGTCAGGTTGACCTGCTCCAGGTGCTCAATTCTTACTTTTAGCTGTTCAACTGGAAATGGGAAAGAAATATTTTTAACAAAAATTACATTGCTTTTAAAAACACTGCATTATTAGTTTACAGTGTATCTTTGTCAAATTAGTGAATAAGAACTGTTAATAAAGAGTTGTCTGGTTGAGATACAAAGAAAACTGAAAATGTTTGTTTTCTCAGACACACAATCATTTTAAAAAATGTTAATGAATTAGTCTCATTTTTGTAACACAAGAAATTACAGCAGTGCTTCCCCATACGGTGAGGTGACATTCAGGTGGAGCAGTGGAGAAGCTGGGTTTAGTGCCCCCCAGGACAGGTCAAGCTGCCATCCTTCCATGAAAAAGCTGCCCCTCAATATAAGACCAAAAAATGCTGCCTGAACTTTTTTTCTCAATTCAATAAGGCATGGATTCTTCTGCAAGAGCTGCCCAATTTTCATCAAACAATTTGTACGCTGTCCCCAGGATAACTTGTAAACCTGTAAACTTCGTGCCCCAAACTTGAAGAGGTGGGCGAGTCTTGTGCTAATAAACTCTATGGTACAGCCAAAGCAGATGGAGCTGGTTGCAAATGTGTAAGCCAGTGCCATGCCATAAATAGTACGTGCTCTGACCCCTCCAGAAGATGAATTAGTATTAGAAGAGGAGCAGAGTATAGAAATGTTGAGAAAACCTGAATAACAGCAGCCTTGATTTGCCACAATCCCCACTCCCATATTTTAGGAATCAGTTTTTTAATTTTTTTTACTGTGGGTGGGGGAGAGAGAGAGAGAAAGATCCTTACCATTTAGGCCTTCTGTGTCTGAGCCGTCCTCCTTGATGGTGGTCATATTAAGGCTTGAGAGAGGCCTGCTCATGATGGTGTTGTCCAACATGCTGGTGTAGCTAATGTCAGGGCACAGGCTCTGATCCATCATCGTCACATCAGCCCTGTCCATGTTTTCAGAATTCTCGGGTGACTCCTTGTCAGGGGGTGGCCCATTACCAGAATATGACACCTTGCCTGATCCCTTGTCTGAGAGTGACAGATTACCAGAGGGTGACCATTTGCTTGGTGGGGACCCATCACCAGAAGGTGACCCCTTGCCTGAGGGTGACCCATTACCAGAGTGTGACCCCTTGCCTGAGGGTGACCCATTACCACAATATGACACCTTGTCTGAGATTGACAGATTAACAGAGGGTGACCCTTTGCTTGGTGGGGACCCATCACCAGAAGGTGACCTTTTGCCTGAGGGTGACCCATGACCAGAGTGTGACCCCTTGCCTGAGGGTGAGCCTTTTTCAGAGGGCGATTCCATGTCAATGGTGGAACCCATGTAAGAGGACGATTCTTTCCTTGGTGTCCTCAGAACCACGACAGCACTGTGCTGTCCAACAGCTGTATTTTGTGTTGTTAGTACTTTGTTAATTTGAACAGGAGAGGTTTGATCCATGTTGACACTCATTGGCCTAGCTTCAGACACATCAGCCAGTTGACTCTTTCTACCATGGTTGTCAGCAGCATAGTTGGACTGAAGATTAGAAGAGAAAATAGAACATACACAATTTCTTTTAAAGGCCAGAATGTGACAATTTTCTTCTTTAATTAAGGCATATAACTGGAATAATAATTGAAAGTAGATGTGATAAAGTTGCTTCCCCAGATTCAAAGCCAGGTTTTAAAGAGTATTTTAATAAGCTGAGTGTAAAATTTGTATCATTTCAAGTGCTTTAAGTATTATATATTAAATATTGACTACTTGGTAAAACAACTTTTTGATTTTATTCAGGAAAAATAAAAAAAAAGCTACTGTAACTTTCGTCCCACTTTAACCCCGTTAGGTTGGAGATTATTATTTGCAGGAAAGAGCCATAATGAGTTATTTTAGACAATTCCAGATACTGAAAAATGGAGCATTTCATTAGTGTAGATTTAAATCACCTGAGAAAATCATGAGACAGGGATTAAGAGTTGAATGTGAGTCACATGACTTACAATTTTTGAATGATGCATCTCTAAATTGTCTTTTTCCAAAGCCACGTGAGTCAAATTTGGGAAAGTGGAATTATCAGTGAGGGAAAGTGTCGTCATGATGGTGGCGTTAGAGCCTCTCGTCATATTCATCAATAGATTGTGGCCCGAAGTGTAAGCTGATCTTGGCTGCTCTGCGGGGTCATCAGGGGAACTCATTTCAGCCCTGCGGACATTGACAGTCTGCTTAAGTCTGGAACTGATTGGGCCGGGCTGACCGGATCGTTTATCTGCATGTTGTTCCACCTCTGTTGTAAAGTAATCTGATGTTGCATAACTACTGTCACCATCTGTGAAAACAAGTACATAATGAATCAACTGCAAAAATTACAGAGACCTTTTTGTGTGCATACAACAGTCATTTTAAATATTCACATATGATGGAAAAAAACGTCATAGCAATGTGTGCACCACATCTTAAATTAGCTTCTACTCTTGCAGCACATCTTAAATTAGTTTCTAATTCTTGCAGCACATCTTAAATTAGCTTCTAATTCTTGCAGCACATCTCAAATTAGCTTCTAATAGGTATTCTAAATGAGCTGGTGAAATTTACGCTGCGGGGAGAAAAAAAATTTTTTTTTGGTCGGGTCGCGCCAGCTCGTAGCGATAATGTATCGTTATACCTGTGCGTTCAGTAACAACTGATCTAGAAAGTAGAAAAGTAGTTCTTTAATATGATGTATTTTTTGGAGCTGTAAACTGTAAATTAATGCTAAATAACGTTGATTTTAACACAAAAATAACATGAAAATTGCGTTTTCTATGTGAAAAAATCACTTTACAGCCCTCAAAAATATATATTTAGAAAGGTCATCCAATTTACTATAAAATTGTTATAATTCCACGAACGCCCCATATACGATATCAGTGCGCAAGGCGCGAATTGACGTCATATATTTCTGCTTGAAAAGAAGTCCATTTCTGGCTGGTGCGCTGTCGCCATTAGTATCTTTAGACTAAGGTTCATCACGCGCTTTTTCTGAATTAACCATTTTGTGTACATTTTCTTCATTTTCATGGATTTAAAAGCAACAATAGGTAAGTAAAATGCTTTTATTTTATTATAAGTACTTTCTTTTTATTTAAAATAAACTGTTTATTTAATATATTTGAGATCTGTGTAAGCTTATCGATAACTATTTTAAGGTTGTTAAATTTTCGACAAAAATGTGTCTAAGTCTATTTTAAAGTTCTCTCTATTTAATTTACGATTACCAAAATAAAAAAGAACTGCAACATTAATACAATTAAATATTTAAACGTTTAATGATATTTAATTTATATGGGTGAATTTTGTTTAGAAATGTTTGTGACTCATTAAACAGTCAGTATAATATCGACTTGTCAAAGCCAATTTCGTCCGCCATTCCTATTTAATTGTTATGGGACGAGTTTATTTAACACAGTGTTGAAAACAATTATATAAGATTTCTTTTGTTTAGTTTTTACAATTTTTAACTCTGCTTTCTTATAATTTGGTGAAATGATCTATTCGAGTAAAATTTTATGCAGTTTTATTATCAAGAAATAGTAGTAGGATTAAGTTATTAAGCTAGTTGTATGAATTTAAAATAAAGATGTTTCCCACCTACCCTTCTTAAGTGGTACAGTCCGGATTAAATTTTGTTACTAGTTAGCTTTTGTTATATAATTTAATTTAGTAATATTAATATACCAGTAATACCAGTATATTTTTTAAATAAGGTTTTTTTTTGAGAGCTTTACTTATTTTTATGTTACCCGTACTTATTTCAGTGGATGAGACTTACACCATCCTTCGAGATAGATATCAGCACAAGGGAAAAGGTAGACCTAAAGGCCTGCCAAAAGAGATTGTCTGCAACAACAGGATACTAGTGCAGTTATCATACATCAGAGAAGAAGGAAATCATCCATGGTCACAGGCAAGTAATTTCAGCATTAGCAATTGATAACAATTACACCAAGTGCTGCATGCTATGTAAGATGGTATGTATGATAGGCTCTGTGGTAGTATATTTGAAATACCAGTTGTTAACAAATTCTCCTTATTCCCAGGTTGCAGATGAATGGATTGCAGACATTTTTCCAGACTCCAGATTGATGAAAGGATCCCTTACTCGGTTTCGTAACCTGATAAATGCCGCTAGGAGTTCATTTATGACATTGCAACCCAACCTCAGGGAGGACTTCCTCAACATGGAAATTGACTTAAATTTTATTTCTCAAGCTTGTTCTAGTGTGGGCATAACACGCCTGAATTATTCAACTCCTCCTGGTAAAATTTGTGATCCTCCTGTAAAAATCTTAAATGGCTTAGTTGTTGACCTGTTATTTTTTAGCAATTCCTTGTCCTTGAGTAAAAAGTTGTTGGCAATGTGGCTTAATTGTTTAACTGGTCTGAGTATAGAAAAGTTACCTTACGCCATTGAATCTGTTTTTAAAAGGTACACTATTTTAAATAAAATGGCACACAGGAATCCTGCAGCCTTGAAAGAATATATTGAATCTGAATTTACTTTGACTGCATTACAAAGTTCTACTTTAACTAAGCCTGTAACTGTAACTAATTTAAAAGGTAGTAATTTTAAATGTAAAAAATGTGATCAACTGCAAGTTGAAAATGCAAATTTATCTGCAGCCTTGTTGGCCATTAACAAGGAAAAGTCTCTGTCGGATATTAAAATTTTAGAATATGAAAATGAAATCCAGCAACATAAGTCTGAGTTAGAAAAACAACATTGTCGACATGTCCTTAATTGCAAAAAAAGTCAAATAAATTTGAAAATGAAACTTGCTAAAGCAAGCGAAGATTTAATTAATCAGACCACCGTTTTAAAAAAATCCCAGGCCAAAAACAATGCACTTTTAAATAAATTATGCAAGTTGAAGTTAGATTTGCAACTAAAAGATACTGAAAGGCTATTAGAACAACGGGAGGGGGGAAGGGTTCTGGATAGAGAATTTAGTTTAAAGACTGTACAAAATATTTATTCTGATGACACACGTAAAGCTATTATAGCTCTTATGTGTGATGGAAAAGTTGCAGCTATGAATGTTTCAACTGTGATCGATATAGTATCAAAATATATTTTTCATCATGTCTTTAAAGATTTTCCCTCGACCCAAACTTGTATAAATATGCTTAATGAGGGTTATTCAATAAGTAATTTTCAAGTAGCTGAGGCTGTCTTAAACTCCAAATCATGTACATTACACTGTGATGGAACTTCTAGAGACCACGGAGGATGCAGATACTTTGTTAGATATAGCTATAAATTGTTTTAAAAAACTTTCTGTTAATTATGATTCTTTTACTGACAGTACATCTGATACTTACAAAAATCTTTTAGTAAAAATAACTAGTACTATGTCTGATAGGGCAGCAACCATGAAGTCCTTTGATAAAAAATTTACAGAGTTCATTAAATCTCAACTTGGTGAGAAAACAATTATACATTTTTTATATTGTAATGCCCATTTTCTGTTGGGACTCTCACACTCCTGTGAAAAGGCACTAAAATCTGCAGAATCAGATATTAAACAAAGTCATGGTCGCTGTTTAGGGCGAGACCAAGACAAACTTTTTAAATCCTATGCTGCAGTAGCTGAAACTGCTACTAATAGAATTATAAGAACAATTTGTGATGTTTTGGTATGTGATGAATCTTTTCTTTTAAATGTATTGACTAAACTTTGTCAAGAATCTTTGAATGTGTCAAAAAGACAACTTGGTGATTTTCTCAACACAGGCTATTTTACAAATTTAAGTCAAAGTGATTGTGAGCAGCTCAGACATTGTTCACTCAATAATTTAATTGGAGAGAGTTCTTTTGGCGATTTGGATTTTGACATCAGTAAGCGAAGACATACTACTTTACACAATAGGTCAGCCACACACTGTGTTAGGAGAAATAGAACTGTGCAATTTTTGGGGGGGAAAAGTATTAGTCATCAAAGTAGGATATTTAGTAAGGCCAGAAAATTGTCTAGAGTTTTAAAGAAAGAAAGTGTTGCAGCAGAACAGCAGGTGAAATTAAATGTTAGGACAAAATTCATTAGTAATCAGGATAAAAAAATACAAAAAGAAATCAAAGTCATTGCCAAAAGATCCTTGCTCAGAGACAAAGTAACTAAACATGGTGGGCCTTGTCAAACATCACAGGATGTTGATGAACTTTTACATAGATTAAATTGGATAAAAAAATACAAAAAGAAATCAAAGTCATTGCCAAAAGATCCTTGCTCAGAGACAAAGTAACTAAACATGGTGGGCCTTGTCAAACATCACAGGATGTTGATGAACTTTTACATAGATTAAATGTTAAAAAGAAATCTCAGGCTGTCATTAGGGAAATTATTAAGAATGAAATAAGATATCATAAAACAGTTTTAGGTAGAAGAGGCTTGCATTTTGGATCCTTAGACCTCATGATTACAATGCTTAAGTCTGAACTGCAGAGATAGGGATATTTTTTATTTCCAAACCTTTTTTCCACAGATAATTATGTACTGCAATATAGTGTAAATTGTATAAGTTCTGGTATTAGTATGTAACATTGTTCATTTTTATTTGATTTAAGAATCTATGTATTCCTTAAGCAGAATTATGTTTCCTAAAACTTAGGGTGTTGCTATGTTATTAAAAAGATTAACATGTTCTACAATACTGTGTAATATTTGTTAAGCTATCTTGTCTTGTTAATGAACTTTTAAAATCTATGAAATTTTTAGTATTTGTGTACATGCCTTGCTGAAATAGTCTCTGCTGATCACCTGTTCTTGTAAATTGATTTTCATTACTAATTCATAGTTAATGATAATGGTTCCTACAGATTTTCCAATACTTTTATATATGTGTATATATATATATATAATTATTAACTTTTTTTAAGGCGCTGGAAATTATATATTGTCGGTGCAAAAATACCAATTTTAATATTTCTTGATCAGAATTTTGTTTCCTAAGCCTTAGGGTATTGCTTTGTTATTAAAAAGATTAACATGTTCTACAATACTGTGTATCTTTTGTTGAGCTATCTTGCTTTGTTCATTTTTTATGAATTTTTAAAATCTATGAATTTCTTAGTATTTGTGTACATGCCTTGCTGAAATAATCCTTGCTGATCACCTGTTCTTGTAAATTGATTGTCATTACTAATTTATTAGTTGGTAATGTTTCCTACAAGTTTTCCATAACTTTTATTTATATTTATATCATATGAACGTTTTTTTAGGTGCCAGAAATTATAAATTTTCAGTGCAAAAATATCCAGTTTTATAATATTTCTTGAGCAGAATTTTGTTTCCTAAACCTTGGTCTATTGCTTTATTATTAAAAAGATTAACATGTTCTACAATATTGTTTAACATTTGTTAAGATATCTTGCTTCGTTAATTTTTAGTGAATTTTTAAAAATCTGCGCAATTCTTCGTTTTTGTGTACATGTCTTGCTGAAATAATTTCTGTAAATTATTTTGCTGGTTTCACATTTGTCTGATGATTTCACATTGTTGTGCTTTAAATAACCTTTTACTTGACTCCTGTATATTTACAATAGCTTAATTGATTGATTTTTTATGATTTTTTGAAAATTAACTAAAATGGACTTTTTGTCTCCCTTTTAATATTTTGTAAAATTGAGCTTCGGCTCGTTTTTGGATTAATAAAAATTGTATTTACATTTTCATGACAACCCTGAAAAAAATTGAGTTTGTTATATGTATAACTGGTTGTGTGTGCAAGAGATTTGAAAGTTCTAACTTACTTATTTTAGAAGATAGCAGGTGTCAAAACTACACTTTCCTGGTGTCTAAAAACTGACCCTCTTCCTGATTTTTTAAAAATTAATAACTTTTTTAATTTTGGAGATAGAGAGTTAAAATTTGTGGTTCTGTTCTCATGAAGCCAAGCTCTATTTAGGGGAATACTTCAATTTTATTTAATTTCATTATGAAATTTTCATTTAGAATACCTACTTCTAATTCTTGCAGCACATCTTAAATTAGCTTCTGCTCTTGCAGCACATCTTAAATTAGCTTCTGCTCTTGCAGCACATCTTAAATTAGCTTCTAATTCTTGCAGCACATCTTAAATTAGCTTCTGCTCTTGCAGCACATATTACATTAGCTTCTAATTCTTGCAGCACATCTTAAATTAGCTTCTACTCTTGCAGCACACATTAAATTAGCTTCTAATTCTTGCAGCATATCTTAATTTAACTTCTATTCTTGCAGCACATCTTAAATTAGCTTCTACACAATATTCGCTAGAGTATCCAGGTCTGAAAATGTAACCCAAATTCCAGCTATGTAGTTAACATTCATTCTTAACCCACGGTTGCGGGTAAAAGTTTACCAGAAATCCCACTTACTGTCATGTTCAAAAAGTTCTCCCACCGACACTGCACGGACACGAGATGGTTGCTGAGCTCCGTCCACGAGGCAGTTCTCGCTATTTGATCGACTTAAAATTTTAGACGACAGGCCAGCCGCTTCCAGAACTTTCAGGTAGCTCTTGTTCTTCTTTGAGAGGACACGCACCGTGTTTTCTGTGGCTTCCAACTTGTCTTCAAGCTCTTGAATCTATGGATTAAACCAAAATTACATTATAGCATAGTTGAACGGCTCAGTGGAATTCATGAGTGCAACTTGAAAAAAGCCTTTCTGTTGCTTGTTAATTTTCTAGTAATGTAACATCACCTCAGCCTAAGAGCTTAAAACCTCTTTAACAAGAAACAGAAGAGGGGGTAGGAGCGGTGAATATAAAAATATATATTTGTTAATTAAGAAATGCATATTTATATTTATAAAATGCCTCAATTGTGAAAGTTGTTAATCAAATTTCAGCTCTCTGAGATATAGTGAATGTTCTTGAATAAAAGATTTCACTTGTTAACTACCATTAGCCATAGGGAGCTCCAAAGAGCTTCTTTTGTTGTGGCCATGAGTTGTTGATAGCGCCAACGTTTGTGGCGTAGTAAAACAGGTGAAATATTTATATAGTTACCGTTTTGGTATGAGATTTTAATTTACCGACAGGATGTTTATTTTCAAATCACATGCTATCGGCAGACAGTTTTAAAAAATTGAGCTGCTAATTAATTTGATTTAATTTCCAAGCTAGTTACCATGGCAACAAGGGACAGGGTTACTATAGGCATAATATAAGTAATTGGAAGTGTGAATATTATTCAGTTTCTGTGTTCTGGGGAAAACTTTTTTTATTATCGAATATACTATTTGGAAATCACCAAATGAAATGCTTTAAATGTTTTGGCACTTAAGTTGGCACATTTATATTTTTAAAAAAATCGTTTTTCTCTTTTAATTAATAAATGATTTAACAATTAATAATTTCCCACCAAAAATTTAATTTACAAATGTCTTAAGTATATCTTATAGACAATTTATTTACCTACAAAATTGTTTATTACTGATAAGAATATGTTTATAATTAAAGAAAACAGCAGGTGAATTTGTACATACATCTGCAAATGAGAAAATGTGACCTAAATTTAATTAGGCTACAGCCAGTTTTTAAATCTATTAGTTATTCAGTTAAATGATCCATGTGCAAACCTCATCAAATAGAAAACTGGATTCAACGTTAAACACAATAACTTGTCAAAGATAATGAGCTCTTTTGTTCAGCTCTACCTGACTACGTATCAGGGATTAGTTAAGTGCTGAGTTAGTGCTAATCCCGGTACAAAGATAACTCCTTTAAAAGGCAGGATCTGAGTACCTATTTAGAATCTGCACCAACCTGGGCCCGTGAGACCAACAAGTCATCCTCCAGCCTCAGTTTGGATACATTAGATGTCAGGTTACCGAGGGACTGGCGAAGATCCTTGTGCTGACTGTGATCGGGGCCAAGCTCAGTGCTAGATGTAACCAAGGATTCTGTGGAGTTGGTAGTACTGTCAGGGCAGGTGTGCATTTCACCAGCAAGTCTTGGGACACACATCTTATTCTGCAAGCAACATACAAAAGAAATGAAATGATGTGTTGCATGACAGATAGTCAAAAGCTGAGTTCAGAATTATTATGATCAAAGTAAAGACTCATCTTAGTCTTTGGAGAAAATTTTTTTTTTAAAAGAGAGAGCACTGATAATATAAAATATAGAAATACAGTTGGTGCACACATATACAGACAAAGGGTTGATGCAGCTGAACACTTGATAAATACCCCATTGTTTGATTGACCATCCTCCGCTGCCTCAGCTGCATTTGTGTTTGCCTGCAGGACTTTGTCTCCCTTTCCAACATCTCTTATTTCCATCTGAAGGTGAATGACAAGGTCTCTCAGTTCCCTGACCGACATTTCCATGACGGCATGGCGCAGATCAGATATTGAGTAATTAATTTCAGCAGGATTTATTTTTGATTTTCCCTCTGGAAAAGTTGAAGAAATTTTATCGCCGACATATTATTGCAGGCCAAAAGTTAAAAAAAAACTAAATTAACCATGATTTTGGAATTTAATTGAAAAACAACAAAGTACTAATAAAATTAATTTCCAAAGCCCAATAAGAAAAATTATTAAAAAACTTTTGGATTATAAGACTTGACGTTTTAAAATTATTTTTGCACATTTTAAAATGATAAGGTAAGCATTGAAGTAAGTCTTCACATAAAATGATTTCCTACCATATACTTTATACCGCTGAAGTTCCTCAGCCCAGCTGTTCCTACGGTTGCGATGTTCACTAGATCCGTCCGTCTCATGTTCCAACACATCATCATCCCAGAAGAAATGACCCTTTTCTGATTCTGAAAGATCTAAGTGATGACCATCTGAAGAGTGTCGTCCCCCGTCAGTTGACTTGCTTTTGTCTTGACGACTTTGTGTTGAAATGGGAACCACTCCACTTTTGTCAGCTGCGTAACCAAAATCTCCAGCCCCACCAAGGCAATCTTGACTGAAGCTCAAAGTAATTTCAGACTTATTTAATCCATCGCCCGAAACATTTTTCTGAATACCATAGTTGCCTCCATTGGTCATGTGGTGGATAATATCCCTCTCCAGGGCATCAAGCTGCCCTGGGGCGTGGCAATAACTGTTTCCATCTGGTTCATCCCCATCTGACGCAGCATCAATGTGTCCACCATCACCACTGGCAAAATATCCATCAACCACAGAGTGGTCACTTAGAACCCGGCTTGATGCCAGGGGTTGCGGTTGCCTGTCCTGTACAGCTGGTGACTTGCTCAAATTGTAGCCATTGGTACGTCGGTCAGTATTCTTGTAACTACTAGAGTCAAGCTGGAAGCTAGATGCACGGTCAATGTGTCTGCTTTCAAATTGGTCATCCTCAAAACAAGCCCCTTGCCTAAAGTCGTGATAATCTTCCAGACTGTCAGTGTTCTCCCGATTGTCATCAGTTAGACTTGTATTGTCATGTCCTTTGAGGCTCACTCTGCCATGTCCTGACATGCTAGCATTTGGATGGCCAGATAGGCTAGTTTTATTATGACTTAATAAGCTAGTATTGGGATGGCCAGCTAGGCTGCTTGCACTGTTTTGTTCCGACAACCTATAATTATGATGGGCAGATGGGCTAGAACTTGGATGGGCTGGTAAGCTGGATCTGTTATGACCAGAGAAGCTAGTATTGTCTTCGCCAAGTTGGCTGGTATTGCGCAGGTGAGACAGGGTGGAACTAAATTGGGCTGGTGTGCTGAATCTGTCAGGTCCATTCAAGGCATTATTGTCCTGGCCAAGTTGGCTGGGATGGCGCCGGCCAGGTTGTTTAGTATTGACTAAGACAGGATTAGATTCCGGTTCCGTTCCTTGTACAAGTCTCCCGGTGTTGGTGGTATTGTAACGAGCCGGAAGACTAGCATAGTGGCTATCAATGTCTACAGTAGGACAAATATTTACTGAGAGGTCCTGGTGTTGACCTCTTAAAGAGCTGACTGACAGATCCATGAGTTCATTATACCTTGGATCTCCACGATTTATTCGGGGTGAAGTTTGAACCCACTGGTCAGTGTGGTAAAAGCTCATGCCTGTCTGCAGTGACCGATCCATGACATCAGGACATGTCTCAACACCTACCGACTGGCTGGATAATGGAGATGCAGGGGCACTACTTATGGTTGATGTATTTGATCCTACTCCATTAGCAAGACCTGATTTTGGTGGATTCTCATGGTGAAAGCTGGGAGCTGCCTTACTTATGCTTTGATGTTCAGTGGATCCCAAATTGTAGCCTCCATCTTGACAGCTGTTACTATCTGGACTATCAGCTTTACAAAAAGAATGAAGAGTAAATTATAGCCCTACTCATAAAATCAATTTGTAGAGTGTTAAAAATAGAGAAAAATGCATGGTAAGCTAAATTTTGTTAATTTAAGGCATGCTCGTATTCTGAACCTAATTCAAATCCCTGCCTACCATCTCCATTACAGCTTAAACAACTTACATAGTCTACCACCAGCCGTCAAATTATATTTCCTACTATATTAAAGACAAACTTACATTGCCTACCATCTCTATTACAGCTTAACCAACTTACATAGTCTACCATCTATTTAAATATTGCCAACTGCAGTAAAGAAAAACTTACATTGCCTACTATCTCTACTCAAGCGAGACAGTAGTATTTGATGAAGCTGGTTGTTTTTCTCCACTCCTTCCTCCAACTGCTTGTAGATTTTTTGAACAGATGAAAGGCCTTCATTCAGTACTTCAGAATTTGATCCATCCCTGTTTTTACAAATCAGATAACATTAGACATAATCTGTTTCAGAAAATAACCCCATGTCCTTTTTGAATTCTCTTCATAAAACCCTTGCTCCAACATGGCAATACGTAAATAGAATACTATCTTCGTAAACAGCAACACATGGGGGAAAATAAAAACATTAAGGCCCCTTAATGACCTAATAAAGAAACGCACCATTTGTTACTCATATCGGGCGTACGCTGAAGGCCGCTCAACTTTGAGAACTCTTTCCTGAGTGACTCCATAACTGTCTTCATGTCCTGCACCAGATCAAGCGGAACGTCCACCTTGGTTAAGTTGGTCGTCTCATAAGTGTTGTATGTTGTGTGGATTGTTTCATGGACGTGTCCTCCCTCCCATGGCTTCTGTCGGTGTGGTGACTGCGGGCAAGAATTCAGTCATAAAAGGTAGAATAACAAATTCAGCTCATTTAAATTATACCTCTGGGAGAAATAAGGCCATATCAAGGGGTAGAGAAGCCATATCAAGGGATAGAGGAGCCATCTTCAAGTGAATGAAATATAAATATGTATTTTTATTTTCTTGTTTTTTAAAATAAAATTTGCAAGAGCTATACACAAAAATTAAATTTCAAAGTTTTCATATGTTCATTTCTTATTTTGACTGCAAAAATACATTTATTTATTTATTTAGGCATTTTTATATAGCGCTTATCATAAAGCTCTAAGCGCTTTACAATTATTAAACATGTCAACTAAGTAAATACAAATGAGACACTAGGATAGTAACTACTATTCTATAGAAACAATGAAAATGGCTATAAAACGAGGACACTTTGACACTTCAGGATCAACCCGAAACAGAAAATGAGGTAGGGCAAGGTAGGCGGACCTAAACAGATGAGTTTTAAGGGACTTTTTGAAAATGGACGAGGTTTCACTATGACGTATATGGAAGGGGAGCTGGTTCCAGAACGTGGGCCCATGGAAGCAGAAGGAGCGTTCACCGATTGAGATTGAGTTCTTGGGATTGAGAGGGTTCTAATGTCAATGTCTTTAATTATGGAACATTTCAATGCATAGCAAGTCATGACAAAGTAAAATTTTATAAGACAATAATCATTTTCCAAAGAATCAATAAACACCTGAGAACTGTAGTACATGTTGGGTCTGTGAATGCGTTCGTCATGACCCTTGTTTTCTGCTCTCAGGTTCTCTAACTCTTTTGACAAGGCTGCAATATCTTGTTTGTGCTGATCAGACATATCCTAAGAGAACAATTACACTTTAAGTTGAAAGCAGTCATATCTCACTATTGCTAATCAGATGAATTCTAAGATCACAAGAAAAATAATATTATAGTAGCCTAATTTGCAGGGAGATCGAAAAACAGACAAAATAGTAATACCTCTAGGATGGATAGTAATGCTTAGATAATTTATTAAAATAACCCGAAAATGTGTATTGGTTCAGGAATATAAAAAAAGATGACACTTCTTTGTGTACATTGGCGTGGAGATGTTCTGGAGTTCAACATCTGGAAATCCATTTACTTGAAAAAACAACAACAAATTATTTCAACTGAAACAGAAATAAACCCTAGAATTTAAGATAATCATAAATCTGACATTTTTCAAGAAAGAACACTTTCTAATCAAATATTTACCTGTATGTCTCTTTCTCTTGCCTTGAGCTTTTCACTCAGTTGTCCGATGTCTGTTTTATCTCTAGTAAATGCCAGCAATTCTGCAGTTTGACTCTGAGAAAGAGTAAATAATATATAATATGTCACATTAAAAAGCCGGGGGAATCTCCAAGTAAATTGCTTTCTGATATTAATTCTATTTTCCGTTTAAAACTTAGATAAAAATGGGTTACAAAAAGTTACCAATATATACAATATGCTCTATCTATTGCAGAAAATAAGATATTAAAAATAACTTGTGAAGAATGGTTGTAACCTGTGATACTCTCTCACCCGAAACAATTTTAATTGTTGCCACAGCTAGATATAAACATCGTATATGACCTATTCTTTTGTTAAGTTCTTTTCTGTGTGAGGCTATAATTGTAATGTGTTATGACAATGCTTTGGCCAAAGGATTAGATTAATAGACATCTTTCAAATATTTTTTTGAAAATGTTCATCCAATGTTTGCCCATTTTGGTTTCTTATGGAATCTAAATTTCCCCTTCTGTGTGTTAAATTGTTTAGTCCAGCAGAATAATATACTATAAAATCTAAAGTCAACTGTGACAGTACCACTTAGCTTTGAGTTTGTTTTGGAATTGTTCTTATTAAACAAAATGCATAAAATATGGCTCAATTTTTTTGGGTGGGGGGACGACGACACCTGAATGAATCATAAAGTTTACATTTTTGGTTTAGACAACAGGGTGGATAAGTCATGGCTAAAATGACATGCCCCAACCATGATAGAAAAGAAAATGATTAATCCAATTTTCTGCACACAAATAAAACAACAATTTTTCAATATCCCAGGACAAATTTGGATACTTCTTTCATTATATCTTTATGACAACATGTCAAGGCCTATGAATTATAACTCTTACTGCTATCAGTTTTTGTAAATCAACAATCTCTTTCTGTAAATCAGCAATCTGTTTTCTTAACTCTTCCACCTCAGTCTTGGAGTCTGGCTTGTTATTTAAAGCCATCTGAAAAAAGATTTAAAAAAATAATAAGTTACACCGTTTTAATACATCCCAGCTTACTATCAACTACATATTTTCAAATTTAAGGTTTATGCATGCACTGAATCAAAGAATAAAATTCGTATTAAGTTTTTTTACCTTATAATTCAAGGCCTGCTCACTCAGTTGATTTTCAAAGTCAGCTCGCTCAGCTTTAAGTTGGGCTTGCAATGCCTGATAAAATAGAATTCAGAAAGTAATCTCTATAACAGTTATATATGAAAGAAAATTACCCTTTAAAAAACTTGTAGCTTTTAAAGATTTTTTAACAATTTTTTTTTGGTACTAACTTTTAAATTTGATAAAGGTATTTAAAATACAATTCAACGTGTGGGTAAAAAAAAAAAATAACATGTCAAAAAAAAAATATTAACAAAAACATATTTGCTTTAATTCACCTTTTTGTTACTTCTATTAAAACAACAATTAAACATTTTAGATCAGTTTAACATAATTTATTATGAGACTTTTGGCCTTAGACAGGGAGCAAGTGATTTACCTCAACAGCCTCCTCACTCTTGTTAAGGGCATCCATGGCCTTACGGAGCTGGTCCTGGAACCCCGCCAGCTCACCTTCTTTCTTGCCCAGAGACATGATGAGGTTCTATATAGGAAAATGCATGGTCATTATAAATAGTATTATTAATAAGGCACTATCTTCAAACTAAATGCATCAAGAACCTTTCACCTCTCACAATTTTAAAAATTATGAACTGAAACATCTAAAGTCATAACCTGCTTATGAATCATTAACTAATTAAAATCATTGCATGAATTATTTTTTATCTTACAGGAAAACAAATCATCAGGGCAAGCAAAAACTTGCATGCTCAATTATAAGAACATAAGAAAATGAAGTGAATTTCAAGAAGAACAGTTAATGAAAAAACGGTTTAAACTAAGATTATATAAGAGAAAATGTCTAAATCTTAAAAAAATTAAATTAATATTTAATGTTCTTAAAGTGTTTTGACTTTACTATTTAAGTGACTATTTATTTCAATGTTAGCTGTTAGATTAGTTTCTTTACCTTGACATGATTGCTTTACAAATGTGTTAAAAATCACTGCACATCACAACGTTAATCTATTTTGAATTATTATTCACACATTTGTAATCTTTAAAAAAAACTATAAATGCTAATAAAATATATCATGCCAACATAATATAAATAGTGCCATTGTGGATCGTGACATGCTGAAAGGGCATGCTAAATTAAGATATACTGATTCAAAAAACATAATCTTTCTGGCTATAGGTATTGATTTTAACCATCTGCTGATTATCCAGAAATGTAGCTTGTGGGACCACGAGCAAAGGAATTGATTGTGACCACAAAATAGGTTCTAAAAGTAATGCTTAAACTTATATATAAATAGGAATATTTTACAATAATATTAAAGGTCTTAAAGGAGACTAAAAGAAAAACTCCATTAAAAATAATAACTAACACATAAGTAACCTGCTGCAATTTGTTTTGATATTATAATTCTGATATGTTTACGGTCCCTTATATTTCTATGATGCTCTAACATATTGGGTACAGTTTGTTGATTTTTATGCATTTCCACACAAATAAAAGCCGGTTTGCCAAATAAATTCACTGCAATGTACACTATTATTTCAAAACAATTGATGCATGTCTTGCAAGCATCATGGCTCTAGTGAGCTGTACCTTGGCCACCCCTGGGAATAGTGACTTGTGATACAAATAGGAACTTAACATTATATCTTAAGAATCCCTGAATCAGAAACACTACCTCAGACAAAGTGTTAGCTTCATTTAACTGGACCTCCATTCTCTTGTTGCTGGCCTCACTCTCTGTCAACTGGCTGCTTAAGCTACTAACAGCCTATAATTACGGAGATCATTAGAGCATGCAGGGATCAACACACAGGTATTTATCTTTGTTATGCATTGGGACTATGTAGCAAACATTTTTTTTATAAAATAGCTTTTTTGTGTTAAATGATACAAATATTTTTAGATGAATTGATACTCTTGTGAAACCAAGAAAAAATATTTAAATATTAAAATTAAAAATATGTTTTGGTGTAAATTTCAACTATGTACTTTATCCAAACTATTTATGTACTATATTATTAGATAATTTTTTATAAACATTTTACTATCATTACCACACAAAAAGCCTAAAAGAAAATTTAATACTAACAAATGCAAATCCACTCTTAATCAAAACAACAATCACAGCATATCTACAAAATAACGTTTTTTTTACATTTACAATGGTAGTTATTCAAGTGATGACTTTTTGCAAAATTGTGCACAGAGAGCACTGCCATGCGTGACAAGTTAACATGCTAGGAGTTGGGTTAAATAAAATATACACAGTGAACACACATCAAACCACAGGGAACTCACATCACACACATCAAACCAAATAAATAATGAAACCAACTATAGTGAAAGTGAACTTAACTTAAGGCAAGTCAAAATTTTAGAAAAACAGATTTCATAGAACCAATATTCTCACATTAGATTGGCTCTTAACAGAAAAAAAACTTGTCACTGTTAAAAGCAATTTAGCACAACAAACGAAATAATGCTTACTTTTGTTTTTTCAAGCTCGGCTGCCCTCAAAGCCTCACGGAGGCTGCTCACTTCCTGTTTTGCTTCTTCAACTTTCTTAATGTTATTTTTACACTGAGAAGAAATTTTTTTTTTTTACAAAAATCATTAATGGCTGGCGTTACATGCAATATAGATCTGCCGAATATTTTTAAATAAAATTAATCACTTTCACAATTTCCAGCACTGACAAAAATGACACACCACTATGAACATATCAAGTTTATCTTTAGAGATATTGCCTTAAAATTTAAAAAAACAAAAAAAAAATGGCTGACCTCCTTTTCTTTGTCTCTCACTGCTCGGACAAGACCTTCAACGCTTATCTTGTAGCGATCTAGAACACTAGATTTCTTCTCCAGGTCACCTGTGGTCTGCTCAAGATCATTTTCTGCTTTCTTAATTTTAAAAACATAATGGAATATAAATACATTTTGGCCTTTTTTCTTTTCTGGTTACGTTTGGAGTCTTAACAACTTAAAGGCGTAGCATGGTAAGGAATCCTGGACTTCACACAAGTTTTAAAAATGAAATCTGTCCATTTGGCAACACATTAAAATAATATGTTTATAAATCTTTTCAAAAATACAAACAAAGACAGAAAATTATGTGTATCTCACATTTTTGAGATTCTCCATGTCCTTCAAAGCATCCTCAAGTTTCTGTCAATAAAAATACATTTTTTAAAAATTGCTAATAGCAGTACTAAGCAAATCTAAAGATGGACAAGTTATTCAAAGCAAAATAATTTCTCCAAGAAAATGTGTAATCGTCTCCATATGCATTCTTAAAACTAAAAATGTTACCTTCAAGACATCATCTTTATGTTTCAGCAGCTCTTCCATATCTTTTATTTTGGCATCTTTACGCCGCACTGCTTCCTTCTGGTCCTCCAATTCATCCTGTAAAAAGTGTGAGCATTAGGCTGTGCTATACATGAACTACTCTGATAAAGAAAATGTCTTTCAAGTATGATGATATTCAACCGGCTGAATAATCCAGGATGATATATGAAGGACTGTGTTCAAGCCGTATGAAGTAAATCAATAATGGAACAAGACAAGTTTAAGCTTGAAGGGCAATTAAAAGGACCACACAAAACATGAAACATATACTTTAAATTATCTTGCCCTGTTTTAAATTAGTTATGAAATTTTCTTTTCAAGCCTAAAAATTTCTTGTTCGACTTCTTTATTTAATCATGAATCAAACAGGTGAACTAATTAGTTTAATCAGCTTTAAAAAAATTAGTTTAATCAGCTCTAAGAAAACAGTTTAATCAGATTTTAAGAAAATAGTTTAAACTAACAAAATGAAATAGATTAAAGGTAACAGAGTCACACAAAAAATAGACGTCATGAATAAGAGTAGAAATAATTTAGTCTCGGTTAACAAAATTTATTGTCATTGTATTATTGATTGTAAAGAAATTCTAAAAATAGAATAACTTTTTTAAAAGATAATTATTGTGGGCAAACACCATCAAGTGCAATTCAACGTTTTTTTTTTATCAAAATGTAATTTTAGTAACAAGTTGTGCCCTTTTATACTAATGAAATGTATTAGAAAGAAATGACAAATATATGCCACAGCTACATTACAGAAACAATGAAAAGATTAAGCATACGATCGTTAACTTTTATAACACAATTATTAAAACATCTTAATGATGTGGGGCATAATTATGCATACACAAGATATGAAGAATGTGCAGGTATATATCTCAAAATAACTAAAACATAAACTAAAGACAAATGGGAAAACAAAATAAATTAAGCTTTTTATAAAAGTATAAAGAAATATAAAATAAACATTAGGTACATAAGCAAGGAAAGGGAATATGTTTGTAGATATATGATTATTGCATATAATCGTTCTTAAGCCAACTTATTCTCTCCAGGTACATTAATTTTATTATAGAAAAGAGTGAAGTAAAAATTAATGTATGGAGTACGGAAATCTTCAGAAAGCAATGTGCAGAATTGGCAATTGCAAAATTTGGACACATGATTAGCCCTTTTTATTTGATGATTTTTAAAATTCTTTGAATACCATATTGCTTGTACAGAGGTTGGCTATTGAGCGGGTTACACTTTTCAAGCTTCCCCTGGCAAAAACTAAAGTGGTTGGCTCATGAACAAAACAGACGTGAATGAGTATATAATGCACATATATGCGGTGAGTGGTATGTGCATTTTATTAGTGTATTAAAAAAATAAAGCAAAAAATAAATGTTAGCACTGTCCGGAGAAAAGTTAAGGTCACATAATAGAATACAACAAAAAAACAATAGCATTAGAGATACCATGTCCCCAAATTTTTGCCATCTTAAACTAATCCTAAATTATGATGAAATTGGAAAACAAATTCAAGAAAATATTAGACAGCCATCACCTTGTTGTTAGAAAGTAAACAAGTAAATCTCTATATTAAAAAGCACATAAGATGTCCATCAAAGATAAAACATGTCTAAAAATACCAATCACCTGCATTTCATACAGACCTACAAAACACAACCCCAGCCAAAAGCAACAGATCAAAGAAAAATAAAAGCCCCTCTTAATAATAAATAGTATTTAATCATCAAAGCACGAGATCTATGAAAAATTGCTGACTGGGACACCAGCTAGTGCAGTAAGAGAGGGCAAAACAAATTTCAAACCTGCATGTGCACAGGCTCCAAGATGGACGTGCAGTCTACCTGGGACTGGTTTTGCAGCATGGAAGAAAGGTTCTAAACAAAACAAACAGGCATTCCAAATAAATGAAAAATGGCAGGACTAGGTCACAAGCAGGAAACAGGAAACTGTAGTGACACAGATGATAGGAAATGGTAGAGACACAGATGATAGGAAATGGTAGAGACCAGGCTGATAGGAAACGGTAGAGACACAGAACAATTGAAGGACTAGCTCATAAGCATGAAACAGATTGGAAACTGTAGAGATACAGCTGATAGGAAACACTAGAGACATTCAAAACTGAACAAAAAGGAAAAACAAGGAATATATATTAAGTCAAGCCTGTTCACAATACTGTTGAGAAAAAAGCTGAAAGGCAGCAAAGGGTTTTTAAAATAAAGATTTTTAATCACAGAGAGCTGTTTCTCAAAAATGCAATGCAGACATCATTCATGCCAGGATTAAATAAATAATTTGGAATTTAAAAAAAAGTAGTGCAACAAATAAAAAAAATATAAAAAAACAGGCCATGCACTTGATGAAAATAAAATGTGCTTTAATAACTTTGAGACCTCTGTAAATACGAATATTAAGATACTCAAAAACTACTTTTTGGTCAGTGCTGAGCAACTGACATTAGGATACTGTTGAAAGCTTAACCAATTATTTCTTTTAAATCAGTACACAAGGCTTTGTGGATTTTCAGACTTTTGTGACAACTGAAAAACTAAGAGATTAAAAGTTTAAATATGAATAAATAATCTTTTTTAAAAAACCTCAAATAATTGTCTAAATAGCAGTGAGGCATTTACCCCGATGTCTCTATCTTTACGGTCTGACTGCTTGCGAGCATCCTGCAGCTGATGTTCCAATTCTCTTTGACGCTGAAGGAGAGTGGATCTTTCCTTCTCTTGATCTGACCTGGTCTGCTCTGAGAGTTTCAACTGGGCAGTCAATGTTTGGACGTCACTGAAATTTATGCCATACAATTGTTACCAATGAAATTATCGTAGGAAAAAGAATCGTAACTAATAAAAAATGTGAAATCTCATAATGTTCAAGCCTCAGATGACATACGTTGAAGATAATTTAAAAATTGTAAAATAATTTTGAGAATTACGAGGCACCACAAAAATGCATGCATTAAAAATACAGTTCTATTTTAACTTACAACTCAGCATTTTTCACTTTATTTTTCAATTCCTGTGAAGAAAGAAAATGATTTAAAATGTAATATTCATTTCAAGGAAAATTTTTTTTAAAGGATTTAGAAAAAATAAAATTATTCAAATTATTCGTTCCTAGATAAGTTTTAAGAATTTTTTTCACCTCTTTAGCCCTGTTGGCATCATTCCGATCCGATGTCATTTCATCCAGAGATTGTTTTAAAGCTTCACATTTTTTAGCAGAATCCTCAGATTCTTTGCGATATTTCTCACAATCCTGGAAAGAGTAATTCAGAGGAATAAAAATAAAACAAGGTAATGCTTTAGTACTTAAGAAAATGTCCAACTTTAAAACAGACATGACTGAAATTTAAAACAACATAAAATTGAACTACCTTGATGGCAAGCTCTGCTTGCTCTTTAAGATGATTCATTTCCTCTCTGTGCTCTGTTAGAACTCTGTTCTTCATGGTTTCTACAGCTTGTTCATGATTGTCTGTCAAGGTCTTCATTGCAACTCTGTAAGATGTTCACAAGTACATAATAATACAAACTTCATGATAATAAGTCTTAGAAAATATTAACCAAAAGGGGGAAAATCACTTCAGAAAAAATACAAATAATTGCAAAATTAAAAAAATGGCTACTCACGCAGCCTTCTGAACAAGGACTTGTTTATCTATCAAATCTCTTTTTAGATTTTCTATTTCCACTTGAAGTTCTATGTTCTGAAGAACAAAAAATTATAGCTCAAAATTAATCATTTGTCAAGTGCATCTACAATAAAACAATCATACATAAGTTTTACAAACCTATATTTTTAAATGAACAATATGAATAAATATCTGCTCTATTCCCTGGAGTGCTGTCCAAAAGCATGTATGAATAAAGTTTTCTATAGCTGTTATGAAGTAGATCCAAGCCTTACAGTTTTAAAGACATCCTGGCCATCACCATAACGCTGCTGCATTCTCTCCTCCATGTAATAGATTCTCATCTTCAAACTGAAGTTCTCTTTTTTTAGATCGGAGATTTGCTGATGGAGTGAAGGTGAACAATAAAATTAGCACACTATTGTAACAGCCACATAGGACTTCATAAACCAATTCAATATAGCATACATCACTTCTGAAATTTCATTACAAAATTGGGAATTTGAACCAATCCTTGGTAAGAAAAAGGACAGGAGAGCAAAATGTGACTACTAAATGAACTAGCAAGTCATTCACAGGTGAAATTTCCCACCTGGTCATATTCCTTCATTGTACGACTTCGAACAGGAGACATTCTTCCACTGTTAGATTTGGTCACCACTGTAAAATAAAGAAAGATACAAATCTGTTTACAGAGACATTTATAATGCTTTCAAACAAACTCAATACACACAAATGATGGAATAAGTCAACTTTTCTCTAACAATTCAATAGATAGCGATTTATAAATCACAACACAGGAGCAAGAGATACTATAAATGCACTTGAAATAAGGTTCATAAAAAATTATATCCACCTATGAGAAAAGGAATAAGTCATTCAGCTCCTGTGAAAATAACATTGAAATTAAATCAAAACTTACTTGGTGAGCCCGGGTCACAGGTGGCCATGAGAGAGTGGTTCCCAAAGGTCACCTCAGGAAGCCTGACAGGGTCAAGACTAAAGATTTAAGTAAAAAAAATAAAAAATCAAGACGATAGCGTTTACAGAATATGATTCATGATCCTATCTAGTGAGATAAGTCATATAGGCAGAATAAACAAAAAGGAAGGAATGCACTAACACCAGCAGCACATGTTTTTGACAATAGCACTCAGTCACCTAAAAGGTCACGCTGCATAAATGATTACAGAGGTAGCTAAACTAATAGGATGGGGCATTCATATTTTACATTGATTTTGTTCCACAAAACTAAGAAGAGTGTATGTAAATTCATTCAAGTCTCAGTGCTTTAATTATTCATTAACAATATCACACTTATGTACCCAAGAAGATTCTTAGACAATAAAAAGAACACAGCCACAGAAAAACAATAACCTTCTCATCTTACAGTGTTCATGGTTCAATTCCTCTTAATGTTTTTTTGTAAATCTAACAGTACAGATAATTTAAATACAATATGTAGGCTGAATTGTGAATGTCTTTAAAGAAGAATAAATTCATTATAGAAAACTGCTCTTAAAAAAATACAGTTGAGCTCAGCTAAACAATTTTTAAAAAAACATGAACTTGGTCGAATGTCTGAATAGAAGAATCAAATATTTAAACATACACATATAAGTGACCTAAATAAAATGATTAAAACTATTGATATATCATGAATGCAGGGGCCTGGTATAGAAATGACTAAGGCTTAACCAGCAGAAACAAAGGGTTAAGACAAGTCAACCGTGACCCCCAAGTATTTCTTTCAAAATACCTGAAGCACATAGTTCTGTCACTTCACTGCTTATATAAAACTGAAGTTTTACAAATCTCATTAATTTATCAGATTATATTCAGTTCAGTAACTCAGTAAGCATAAGTAGTATGCTTAGGCCTAAGTAAAATAAACCTTACAATTCTTTAGGCTAAGCTTAAGTAAACTTTATAATTATAAAGGATCTCTGAGTAAGATTTGTGCTAATTATAATAAAGTATACTATAAAAGTAAAAGTTAAGCCAACTTCAATTTAAGCAGCCGGAAAATATTCTTGGATCTTAGACACACCCCCCCCCCCTCACGTAATTGTAAAATAAACCCTTCTTTATAAAGGATCTCTGAGTAAGATTTGTGCTAATTATAATAAAGTATACTATAAAAGTAAAAGTTAAGCCAACTTCAATTTAAGCAGCCGGAAAATATTCTTGGATCTTAGACACACCCCCCCCCCTCACGTAATTGTAAAATAAACCCTTCTTGAAGAATCTGTTTGCCATCTCCAAGCTCCAATTGTATTAATTTAGCTATTAATAGTATTAATTAAACTATTAGGCCTAACACATGATAATCATGATTGAAGTGGCTATTTGGACCCGGCTATTAGAAGTGAAAGGTTGGGATTAAAATATGTTTAATGTATTATTGTTTGGTTTGTAAGACAAAATTTGGTATTGAATGAAAGATAATTGAATAGACTATATTATATGTTTGTAAACTTAATTGCTCAGTTTAACTAAAATAAAGTACGACAAAGACAAATGACATCCGAATAGCTTTTAGTCAAAATGGATCCAGACACGCATTGCCGCTATTCAGCCTATTCGGACCATGGTCCCTTTATCAATTATCTATCATTCGATACCAAATTTTGTTGTAAAAACCCAACAATAATAATTTTTAATAAACACAACTTCTCACTTCTGATACCGGGACCGAATAGCCGCAGCCAATAATCATGATTTGAATATATTATATGATGATGGCATGTGTCATGTAAATATTCTCATGACTCATAAGTCATAATAATAAATGAGCCCCAGCCCAAATTATTATTATGACATGAATTGTGTCAATACCAAATTTAGACTTTTTCTTGTTCTAGTTTATACTATTATTATCATGATTCTGTATTACAAGTAGCAATAAATATAAATAAATAAATATACAAAGGGGACATCTAAGTCTAAGTTTAAAACGGGTGCCTCATAATTTATTAATATTAATAATGTATAGCTCCTAATAAATAATTGCCTAATAAAGTTCTATTTTGAAAGTGCCGCGGATGGTAAATACAGACTGTGACTATCATGTGCATTTAATCTTCTTCAGGGAAAGTAAGTAAAAAGAATATCGAGCGCTGATATTTGAATTTTAACAGACGAAAGCCAGGAGGAGAAATAGATAATTTTAGAATGTTGGTCTAATTACTAAAGAAAACTTGTAAAAAAAAAAAAAAAAATGACAAAGAAAGAAATTTAATTTTGATTGTGAAATGGACGAGAATCTCGAGATGAATTGATACAGTTTTAAATTTACCTTCCTTCGAAGTCCACTGGCAGAACCGACGCATCGGCTGTATCGTCCATTTAAATAGCAGACTACTTGTCATCAGGTAAACATTACCTGTGTTCAAATCGACCAGTAGCACGACTGTCAACCTGAACTGAATTATCTAGTATTATTTGTTACTCCCAGAGTAGAACACCCTTAAAATATTTTATGCAACTGTGCGCATGCGTGACGTTTATTTGAGTTCTTTTGAAATGAATACCGTAAATTACCCAAATGTAATTATCTAAAAAAATAATCCCCAAATTATGTATGATTTTAAAGGATTTTTAAAATCTTATTTTAGTTAATCCTATTATCCGCTTTAACCTATGCAATTATAATAAGGTGAATGACACAAAAACATGTTTTACACTTTTATAGTCGGAAATAGTTTACGTACATTTCCGTAAACACAGCGTATATTTTCAAAACGCAAAGCAAAAACATCAACAATCTTCTTTAAACTTCGACTTAATTTTTCTTTAATCCCTAACTCTAGATTTGGGGGATTATTAACCATTAATGTTCAAACTTTAACTCATGTCTCTATTTTGTCTAGAACTATAATCCGACGAATTAGTGGAAACGCATAGCCATAATTCATAATAATGTGCGGGCGCACTGCATGGTAAATCTGAAATGAATTAATACTTATTTATTATTTATTATTTAATATTATTATTAATAGTAATATTAACAGTAATAACAGTAATATATTATAATTATATATAATAGGCGTAAAATAGACCTATGCCTATAACTATAGTTATAGTCTATGGCTAGTATCTAGTTATAGTACCGGTACCAACATTTAATTACTAAATTAGTAATTTATTAAATTACTTTTACTTAGTCAAGTAACTAAACTAAGTAACTTATTTTTAGCATTAGTAACTATTAGTAGGTTATTAGGCTCAGGCCTGATTATCAGTTACTCTACAAAAGTCTACTTGCCACAAGTTTTCCTGCTGTTCTTACACTCTCACACTGGACTTAAGTAGATTTATATTAAAGAGACATAAATACTTTTATAGAACATTATGACAATTATGAAGAGCAGGGCACATACTTCTAAAGAGGGAAGCTAAAGAAATAATTAATTAGGCTAAGTTAAAAAAAAACCAACACCTTAGAACATTAGACTGATTGATAATTAAGTCATGCTCAATTTTTTTTCAAAGTCCACACTCAAGCAATGTAGCACTTATTCACTAATTATTTTTTTGAGTTTTTTTATATAGTTTATTTGACATTTGTTGCAATTTGTTCCCTTAAAATCAAACTTATGGAGTTGCACATATTTTAGTTTGTAAAAGTCTGAAGTTTCACATGAATTTTAAATTCTTTTTGATAATTTATTATCAAAAGACTTTTAGTGTTTTTGGCCAACTATACTATAACTTAAATAACTATATTGTGTTGGGTTTTAAAAATGTTCCAGTTTCATACCTTTGCTTGTTCATATCCTTTTCAGCACCTTAGCACCTGATGAAATTATTGGTGCATGCACTTATACAGATAAAAATGGCAACAGAAAACAACCACAGTGGATTGATGCATCAGGTGGTCAGAAGTACTGGCCTTCCTATAACAAAGCACCAAGCTCATACACGTAAATAAAATGTTAATTGTTCCAGTCTCACTGAAAGTTACTTTTATTGTTTTAAATTGTCTTTGATGTTTTAAAGGTGAAATATTTTTTTTTAAAAAAAGGCTTTTATTTTTCAGACCAGTTCTAACATCTGGAAAACACTTTGATCATTCATTTCATGACTCAAAATCTGATCGTGTTGTGACACCAATGAAATGGGGAATGACACCTTCATGGCACCAAGGAGATCCTTTTAAAATCCCTTATGAAACTAATAACTGTCGAGCAGAAGGAATGTTAGAAAAGAAAACATACAAAGTTCCCTTGAAGAAAGGATTTCGATGTGTCATTTTGGCTGATGGGTAAAACTCATTGATGTTTTTTATTTTTTAAAGTTATTAAATGGATTTCTCATTGCAATTATCAAGCTTTTAGATATTTAGATAGTTAAATTTAATCTTTATGAAGAAAAAGTATTCTCTAATGAACTATTCATGTTTTATGATTGAAGAAGACTATTAAGCAAGATCATTTGTTATCATGCCTTTGTACTACTAATCTTGACTTTATATTCCCCAGGTTCTTTGAATGGAAAACAACAAAAGATGGCAAGCAGCCATATTTCTTTTATTTGCCCCAGCCAGACACTGTTCAATTCCCATTCCGAACTGTGGAAACTGCATTGAACGACAGTAAATTGAGCCAAGGTTCTCCAAAAAAGGAATTAGAGGCTACGCATGAGCCAGATTTTAAACTGTCTGCCTCTAATTTGAAAGTGGAGCACTTGAGCCAATCAGACAATGAGGACAGCAGAGAAATGAAGATAGAAGTACAAGAAGGGAAAGATTTAAAAGTAGAAAACCTCCAGGAGAATCCTAAAGTTGATGTCCCTACGTGGAATGGGCCTAGACTCCTGCCTATGGCTGGTGTTTTTGATATTTGGAAACCACATGATGTAAGTTAAAATACAGGATGGTGCAAGAAGTAAGATATCAATAATTTATTTTAATTGTTGCTAGTTTTCATGCTGTGCTTGAAAGAAGGCTAATTAGTTGTTCCATTTTGGTTGCAGGGTTCTCCTCCCTTGTACTCTTACAGTATCATTACAGTATCATCATCATCAGATATGGACTGGTGCCACCATCGCATGCCAGTAAGTCTAAAAATAAACCATATTTATAAAAAAATTGTTGCTGTAATAATTCTTGTACCATGGGCTTCCCACCATCATGAAAGCAACTCCTTGAGTGTTGAGCATTTTTACTCCTCATGCCCCGAGTATATTAGTGTTTCGCCCGAGGCCAATGTTAACTATCCGGCTTGTGTCTTTCTCGTTTCACAAAGAAGGGTGAGCTTGTATGTTCTCATTTCTTCTGCCACTTGTGCTGCTTTTTCTGTTTTGTACATGGCTCTAACATTCCACGAGCCTATGCCTATTGCCATTAAAGGAGGGACCTCAGCTTTGAGGTTTCCAGGATACCTTGGGTTAGGCTGCAAGGCTTCACACACAACACATCTTGGGTACAGGAGTCCTCTCTTATCAGGGGTGAAATTTTTTTTTTTTTTTCTTCTTGTTGACGTTTCTGTAGCAATTGTTTTTTAAAGACGAGGTAGCTGGCCTTATGCCAACCCTCCTCTTTTGGCACCTGGGCTTGGGACCGGCCATACCCAAGCTTGAAGTGATCTTTCATCTTATTTTTTTCAGGCCATTTTAACATCTGAACAGGAAATCCAGGACTGGATTGATTTCTCTACCATTCCGCTAGAAAAGGTTTGTGAATAAACTTAAACTAAAAAGTTTCTATTCATTTCTGCAATTGTTTTTTTTTTTACCACAATTTTTATACTATCCTGAAATTGTATAAGCAATTCATTAAAAAAAAAAAATGAAAGGATAATATGAAATATTTTAACAAATCAAATGGTACCTCAGCATGACTGACTTTATAATAATACTTTAATACATTTATTATTATATGAATGAAAATTGGAAACCTTTACACAGTGGCTTTTCTACGATTAGAGCTGCCACAGGCTGGCCGAGCATTACATCCCCACCCACTCCAAGAAAAAAAACTCTGCAGTTGGCTGAAAATGCAGCCCCTCCATATAAAGAATAAAATAAATTCCTGAAGCAGACCCCCTCCAACTCTACACCATTGTCTTTGCCTTTACAGTATCTCATTAACCTAACAAACATAAATGCTATTTCATTGCTGTAACTGACATCCGTCAGGTTTTCCAAATTTTACATGAGATGAAAATAAAACAACAGTAATAATTTTCAAACTTTTAAAACGTTTGGTTACTGTAGATCATTTGACGGACAATGTATTTCTGCCAATGCTATTGTAAAAATATTTTTAATAAATTTAAAAAAAAGGCATTTTTGGACTTGAGCATTTATAGAGTCACAGATATACATGTCTCATTTGTAAGGGTGTTCCATCAATCATTGTGTGATTGTTAACTCTTGTCCACACAGGCCACATCCTTGATCAAGCCCCAGAAATGTTTAAGCCATCACCCTGTGTCTACAGCTGTCAACAGCTCCAGATACCATGCTCCTAACTGTGTAACTCCGGTGGTACTTGGGTGAGTGATACATACATTATATCTATTAGTTTACTTATTTAGTTATGCTCTATGATGTTTAATTTAAATTGTAGCATTTTTGTTAGGGGAAATGTTTATATTTTGTTTTACTTTTTTCCATTAATACAAAGGGCACCAAGTTTACAAGAAATATGTATTTGATTTTCAATTTATTGCTAGAACTAGAATATTTCTTAATATGTTAGGTTTCGGTACTGGAGTGGGACTTGGGAAAGTGCACTCCTTTTGTTTTGGTATAACTTGAATGGGTGGGGGAAAAATATTTTCCAACCAAAATCCACAGTCATTTTTATCCGGATCCCTAATGGAGCTGGACTACAAGAGTTAACCATAAATATTTAGCCAGCATGAGAATGATGTTCTTTAATTGCCAGTTTAAAAAAACAACAACATAACCTTCCACTTACAAATACTCGAGTCATGAGTGATTAAATATTTAATAGCCTAACTAATACATTTTAATCTTTTTTCCTTACATAAGGAAACCAAAATCCAACCCCAGCAGCAACCTCATGATGAACTGGCTCAAATCTGGATCCCCAGCAAAGAAGATGAAATTGGTGTAGTGCACAGTGATGTTTTCAAAGACATGTCATTTGGTTTCTTCTTTGTATATTTGTAAGAAACATTGCAACAAAAACAGAACTAAGTACCAGTACTTAATTTTTTTGCATCACCATGGCCTCACCTGGAGCACTTCATGCAGTACCAAGATAGTTTGGTTGTGCGTACAAGAAATGAAGGTGTTTATGTAAAAATATGATTGAAAAAATCCAACTAATGGTAATTATTTTCTTGATGTTGTCACCCAAAAGTCTTCAATAGTGTAACACTAGTTCAGTGTTTACTAGAGTCATCTTTATTGTCCATATTGCATTTATTGAGAAAAGTTTCAAAGCATTAACACCCCCCCCCCCCCTTAAAAAAAAAAATGAAAGAATGATGCAGAACCTTAGTTTTTAAATTTGACACAAAAGTATATCTCAATCTTTTAATACTGGTAATGTATTTTTATATTTCATATTGGTGTTACTAGTAACCATTGCAGTAAATATAATATAAATGAATTATCAGTACCAGTTAAGTTGGTGTTGTAGGTATTGAACAATAACTGAAGGTCTTTGAGGTTTATGTTTGTGTAAAATACAATTTATATTTTTTTCCTTACATTTGAAATAAACTCTAATATCATTTAGTGCTTAACGATTTTCCAGAAGACAAAATATGTGATACAATAATCGGAAATTATTATTTGTTACTGACTTGAACATTGCCATTTATTAATTTACAGAATATAATTTTAAACGGAAACACAATCACCATTTATTTGTTCTCCCTGATCATTTTTCATGTACGTAGTGCTAGTTTAAAAATCACATGTTTATGTATTGTGAAAATCACTTCTTTCTGCTGCTGGAGATATCAACTCATTATGTTACTGTAAATATTGCCTATTTATGTTACCACAGAATGTATAAAATTGATGAAATAAAAAGAACTTTCCAAAGTTGTGCATTGAATAACTGACCTCAACACATTAAGACAAAACCATTCTGTGTGGTTTGAATGTTTATTGGTTATGCTCTGTTTAATGGTTAAGCTCCAAATCACAAGAATGTTACATCAGTCACAATAATTATCATCCAAGATTTATTTTTTTCGTCACCTATCCAAAGGGGTGATCTGGAGGGATAAACTGTCATGTAATTCATCCAACTTATCTTCCTTTATTGCTTGACGGAGGTGTTGAAAAAAATCAAAGTACTGATGGAAATTGTGCCTGAAAGAATAAAAAAAGTTAAATCTAACTTTTTAGCCAAGTTTAATATGATTGATTATTATTATTAAATTTTTAAGGCGATTAAAATGATGCTTATACTATACTTCTCCAAAAATCTATTGATGCTACAATGTTAAAATATCATTAAAAAAAAAAAAAATCATGGCTTTCAAAATTGAATTGCAATATTAGAAATGTAAATTAGGAGCCATGCACAAGTTGGGAGTTCCTTGGTATTCAGTGATTTGGTACTTGAATCACACATCTTAGAAACTTACATCATGAGTAATACATAAGCTAGGAGCTCCTTGGTATTGAGTAAGTGATGTATATAGGAACAAGTGAAGTTTGAACATGTGTAACACTGACATCCATTCATCAATGGACTAAAATCTTCAAAATATCTGAAATAGAAGAAAGTTGAATGCAGTCTATGTGTTTAAGGAACGCAACTGCTAAACAATACATGATTTACAACTCACCAATGACAATTTTGTTGTCTTTGAAAATGAAGCCAGTAAGCTTGCACATTTATAAATGTATAATTCTACTAATGGCACACTGGTCGCATTACACTCCAGGTAAAAAAATTTCGTATTCACTGACCTTGGACTGTTGAGATCGATGTAAAGCTCCCGAGACTCGTCTTTTTTAGGGCTGGCATTCTGGAGCTCAAGTCTGGCAGGCTGAGAACGAGGTGGCAGATTGTAATCACAGACTAGAGCAAAACCTTTCTCTGCCAAGGTGTAGGGGTATGTGCGGCCATGTTAAGGAATCGAATGCTTTGAAATCATTTTTTATCATCATCAAACATTTTTTTTGTGTTGAGTAAAAAAATTGTATGTGTAATAATTTTTAAAAATTTATGATGGCATAATGGTCAAGACACATGGTGTTAACTATGTGGTCAAACCCATTGTTTAACTAACCATACATTCCCCAGCCCTCAGGGCTACTTGGCTAATTGCCTATGAAGTAAATTTGGAAAGGCAAAGGGAGCCATCTCAGACAAATTAAACAACTGCTAAAAACAAAGTTTTATGTCTAAATCCTTTATATGCATTTTTTATTATTTCATTTTATATTAAAATTCTAATGTTTCACCCTCTTTCACACAGCAGATTTATTTTGAAATGAAAATTTGAAATAATGTGTTGTCATCAGCAATGAGTCTACTATAAGCCAAGTTTCAGCTCAAAAGGTTGACGGGAAGTGAGTCAGTTAGTCGTCCAAAGATTTTGCCCCAAATACACAAAAGCCAAGTTAAATTATAAAGGATTTTTTAAAAAAACCTTTAAGGGAAAGCAGATGGCATTTAATTCAATTTCTATATACCAACTATTGCAGCTTTAGTGCATCCTTTAGATGAATCTACAGGCAGAAATCTAGGGGTAGGTGGCTCATCGGTCGACCAAGATTGAGATGGATTGACGATGTAGAGGTTTACACTTACACCAGCTGGGGGTCCCCACATGGAGGCAGAAAGGCTTGGATCAATCTGAATGGAAGGTTGTAGTGGAGCAGGCCAGGGCCCTAGATGGGCTGCAGTGCCACTAATGATCATTCTATACATCTACTATTATAACATTTATACCCAAATGACTGAAATAATGACTGAAACTGAAAGTCAAGAGTAAAGAAAAATACACATTTCCTATAATAATCTGAAAAATAAGATCCTGTAGAAATTAAGTGGCTAGGATCTAGAAGCGGATGTCTATTTGTTAATATAATAAATAAGATTACTAGGTAGTGTGTTGTTATTAAGTAAAATACATAGAAGTGGTAAAATACATAGAAGTGGAAAGAGTTAACTTACTCTTCAAAACAGACTTGAAAGGCAAGTAACTAGGAATCCAAACAATTCATTTCAAAATAATTGCTTCCCTTTAGTTCCTGAAAGTTTTCTATAAAATATACAACATAATATGTCAAGGATATGCACTGGAAAATATATCCACACCACACTTGAAAGCCTTGATAACCTGCAGGGGAGACCATACTGTCTCCATGATTCGGGGCTTGTCTATGGGGAGATGTTGCTGCAAAAATATAAAGTATGTGAGGCAAAAAAAAAGAATTATTGTAGTTAAAAATTGTCACCAATAATAAATATATTTAAATCCACACACCTAATGATTTATTCCATAGACACACAGAAATAATATCATACATTTCTGTTTGCCCAAACATATATTGTAGATAAAAATATAAAATACAAACCATAGTAAATAAGAGAATCTTGGTAAAGTCTGGGTCACTGAACAGATCCTTCTGACTGTTGCCTTTTTCAAAACCTTCAATGAGGAATCCTAAAGAAATAATTTAAAAAAAAAATGTTACATCTAACAGTGTTTACATTAAAATAAATTTAAATACTTTAAAAATAAATTATTACCAAATGATAATCGAGAGGCAGAGTCATTTTAGCTCACTGAGTTTACATTTGATCGATCACACTTTTTTCTATCAGATGTAAAAAATGTAATTCTAAAACTTTTGGACCAACCACCCAGTTTTTATTCAAGTCCGCCTCTCAGATGGTGCTATAGCAGCACTCATCAAAGAGTAAAATACTTCATATGGTCCATTATGAAATTTAAACTACCATTGTAATTTACTTGATGAAAAGTTAAGATAAATGAATGATTGGGTCAGTGTTGTCTTACCATCCACTGGGCGAGATGCTGTTTCAGTTGCAGATCGTTTCCTGTGCCACTCCTTATAGCCACCTTCTATAACTCCTATAAGACTTGAATTTTTAAGTACCTGTAAGCCAATAAAAAGAATCAATTATTTTTTTATTTTTTTTAAAAACCTTTAAAAAAAAAGAACAGTTCAGCAGGTATGTGTTATGCAACATTCTAGGAAATTTAAAAATCATTTTATCTAAAATATGTTACCTCTTCTTTGGGTGATTTTAAAAGTCACCTTGCCCATAGCCTGACCTTACCTCACTCTTTTCTTTCTTTTCTAGAACTTCATCGAGGAAGTCCAAGGTGCGATCAACAGATTTGGTCAAACGCTTTGGGCCACATTCCTTGTCTGTGTCCCCATCACTGAGGGCTTGGAACCAGTCAGGAACAAAAGACTCCTGGATCTTCATGTACAGTGTGGTATCCAGCTGAGCAGGGACGGACAGATGTATAAAAATACAGTGTTCATAAATTAGAGGAGATAATTAGCCTAATCAAGAAAGCTAGTCATATCAAACAAACTATACATCCTTCACTTGAAGAACTATTTGAAGAAAAATGCTGTTATAAAACTAAAAAAAAAAAATTGGATGATACATCCCACCCATTCATCACAGATACCTAATATCTGCTCAATCAGGGTAAATTCTTTCTCTTAAAGTTAGGAACGAAAGATATAAAAACTCTTTTGTTCCCCAGTCTGTAGGAATGAATTTATCAGTGTGCTCCCCCAGCAATTACCAAATCTAAATGATCACCATCATCATTATTGTCACAACGGGTTTCAATGATGGCTGATTTCTAGGTTAGAGAAATACTTTAGATGTCTTGTGTTAAATTATTATAATTGTAATTTGCCATCTTGGTTAAAAATATGTACCTATTTATGTGCTGAAAATGAATATGTACAATGTATTAAAACATTTCTATTTATTTATTTATTCCATTTATTTTGATAAAGAACTTATATTATCTTTATTATAACTGTACATTTAAAACTTATTATTCGTAAGCTTTCGAGTGGAGGTGAATTTACCTTTATCTTACCACCCTTTCCCCATACAGCAACACCTGATTTATCATTTTTGCCTGGAAAAACAGCTGCACTGGCATCTTGAAGTGTGGAAAATATTAGATGTTTCTGTGAGTCATTAAAAATATTTGGTGAGCGCGTAAACATTGCAAAAGAAGAAAATTGCAAAGGAAGGATGACAAAGGACAACATAGATTATCTAACCCAATTAAGTATTTAGAATGTATAAAATAATATGTGTAAATAAATAATTAAGTTGGAATAAAACTATTGTTGTATAACAACTAGTGTATAATATTTGATGTTTACATACTTTCATGGCTGTGAACTCTGCTAGTCCTTTTCCAAAATCTGAAATGCTTTCATGGTGATCGGCCCTAATCAAAAGAAAAGGTGGTCCTTTTATGCTCTATATCTCAATACACTACCTTAATAGAGAAATAAAATCGGATAAAAATCAACTTAAATTTTAAACAGTATTCCATTCAATGTCTAATAAAATGTGTAATTTTTCTTCCTTCTTTATTCAATAAACTTTTAGCTATTTACATATAAAAGAATTTAATCTCACAATGAACCAATATTCATCACGGCTATGTCAGGTACACCGGCAACTCTGCGCAGCATGTCAATACTTAGATGTGGGGCGCTGCCTGAGGAAAATAAGTTACAATTATTACAAAGTGATATGATGTTAAAAGTCATCTTACTTCATTCTCTTTTTGATTAAGTAATTTCAACACAAAGCAAAACAAAAATAATTGAAAAAAATCTGACAACAGAAAATTATATGTGGAGAATATAATATTTGAACAAAAATGTGAAAATTGAAATTAGATTAAACCCAAATAATGCATCTCTATACTATAAGTTATAAGTTAAAAAAAAAAAAGTATAAGTCTAATAAGTAAAGGGATTGTTATTTTCTTTGTAATATTTTAAAACTCACCCCCCTTAGTAAATAGTGTGCATAAGGGTGTCTCAAGATTAACATTTCCTTGAAGACCAGCTTGAGAAATAATGCCAAGCCTTCCCCCAGCAGCTACTGTCTTTTCTATACAAAATTTCATCTTCATTTCTTGAATTTCCCAAGCGAGAGTAAGGCTTACCTTCTGATAAAGATCAAAGACAATAATAAGTCTATTACAAGATAAAGACATGAGTTTAAAAAAAGAGTTATTTACAAATAAATTGACTTTAGTCGGTCAACAAGAATGATAGAGAAGAAATTTTAAAATGTATTACTATTTTGTAAAAGTAATAAAGAAAATTTATCTTGGAAACTGACTCATTTAATACATTTAACTGACTGCATTGACAATAGCTCCATAAGCTTCTATAATATAATAATATATATAAACTGAAGAGGCATTTTGAGCGACATGCCTAGCATCAAGTTGTGGCACACCAGTGTTTTGTGGCACACCAGATGCTCAACCCTGGTTTACAGTCCAGGTAAGGTAATGCATTTGGTGCTGGGTTGAGAAGGTTAAGATAGGGAAGGAGCTTGGGAAAGGTAGAGAAAATGGCTGATTGGGTGGAGGGAAAGTGAGGGTGTATGTGGCCTTTGTGCTGTGAGGGAAGGTAGGTAATATTAAAGTGGTGGTGGTGGCAGCTGGGAAGATTTTTCCTTGGGTTTGGGCGGAAGGGATCATTTGGCTTTGGAAATGAAGGGAATAGCTCATTCAATTAATTTCAATAGACAGTCAATATTAACCATATAGAACAGGCCTAAACAACATACGGCCCCCGGCCACATGCGGCCTGCCCGTACCCACTTTGTGGCCAGGGAAGTAACAAAATAATCTTTATTCAATAAATTTGTATCATTTTCTTAATAGCTTTACCCCTGTCCTATTTTCTTTTGGCCCGCACAAGTCCTGTTCTATTTTCTTTTGGCCTGCACAAGTTTTTCATAAAGTATTACGGCCCACCTTACACTTACATTTTGAGTTGTGCAGGCCTGATATAGAATTATAATTAGGGGTAAGAGAAAAGGTTTTAGGCTTAGGACTTAGGGGGAGTGAGGGGGGGTAGCTTTTTGAATAAATGTTTATTTGTAAGTTTACAAAGTTCTAAGTCCCCAATGAGTATTTACATTTTGATTACACTTTAAAACTTTATAGAATTATTTTTTATTATTAAATTTATTATTACTATTTTTAATACGGCAGGGCCATAAAATTTACTATTTAGAACTCCTGTTACTAGTTACTTTAAAAAAAAAAACTATTTACGCTAGTTTAATGACAGTGACAGTGTTAGTTTCAGTCAATGAATTTTGGTACCTTAATTTTGAGTGAAATTAAACTTTAAAAAAAATTACTAAAATTTTAAATAGGCTACCGGTATTAGTAGATGTTTGGTGGTGGAATTATAATGTGCACATTGTTTTCATTTGGCAGGCAACACTAATGAATACCGCCATGATGATTTGATTTTGATGAACGTAAGTTTTCGTTCATTTGATTTGATCTTGATAGCGGAAGTGTAACATATTCTCAGTAAACAAACAAGTGAAAGTCAAAATCTTTAAAAAATATTGCTATATTTTCAATTTATATTGAATGAAGAAAAGAATGAGCTTCTTTTTTTCTAAGCACAGTCATTTAAACTCAGAATTTGAAAATTTAAAGGTATATAAACCTACCCCTTACTGTTAATTTATTAGGTTAATGCAACAAATCTTTAAAAAAGTTACGTACCAAGTTACGGCTTACTTACTTTTCTCTTCCACTGAGTGGACCACTCTTAATAAACTCTAAGTGTGAAGCCTAATAAGTCCGAGTCTCCCAGAATCAATCTGCACTTACACCTTGGTGTCCCGAGCTTGTCAGTCCCTGTATTTCAACATAAGTTCTAAATTTATATGACGAAACTATAAATAGTTTACTTTCAGAATATTCTTGTAAAAGTGTGTACTCCTCCAGTCCAGTCTTAGAATACTCTCTTTAGTTTGTCACCAACTTTTAATTTATTTTCAGTCTTACATGTAATAGTAATGTAGGCCTAAATAAATTGTTATCAGCCTCCCTAGTTGTTATTCTGTTGTTTTGTTTTACAGTAAAACTATGGAAACAAGTTGTAAAAATCTTGTTCAGGAGAATCAAGGTGTACGAGACTTACACAGTGAAGATGATGTTCGAACTACCCCTTCCTCATCAGCTCTGCACATTTTGGAGATGCCAGATTCTATATTTCTCCAAATATTTAGCTTCCTCCCATTTTCTTCCATTGGTGCAATCTCTCAAGTTTGTGTTCGTTGGCATAGGATTTCATATGATGAACTTTTGTGGCGAAGTGTATTCCTTAAACATTTCAAGCTTCCTTCCAAAACTATTATGCCAGCAAAGTAAGCATCCATAAGTTTTCTTTTTTTTTTAAAATTTAATAATATATATAATTTGACCTATGAAAAATTAAATAATTCATAAATTCTAGACTCTAGTATAGCGAATGAGTGCAACAGACTTGTGTGATTGTGTGAGAATCATGAATAACTCTATTTTTCTGCAGGGCCAGTTCTTGGAGGTTTGAGTTTAAACGACTTCACTACCATACACCAGCTGTACTTAGTGAAGAAAGGAAAGAACATAAAGATGAAGTTCTGCATGTCAGCTTTTCTCATGATGGCACTAAGTTTGCTACATGTTCTAAAGATGGCTTCTTCAAGGTATGAAGAAGACACTAAAAATTAAACAATAAATTTAATTCAAATATTCTCTGTAAATAAAAAGAGGTATTTATAATGTATGGATATGTGACATTGTGTTCATGCTCTGAATTTTGATTAATATTTTATTTCAGATATGGCAGTGTACAGATCCGGTGAAGCTGCTTTTCAAGATGGACATGAAAACTGCTTTTAGTTGGAAATTTACTCAGTTTTCTCAGTTCAATGAAACAGATACCTGTCTATTGGTTTCAGGAGTTTATTTTGGTAGACTCAGTACATCGGGAGAAATAGCCGTTTTCAATTTGCAAGGTAATATTTAGTCATTTTTCTCATGCTTAAAATGAGAAACAATGATATTTTTAAGTGTGCAATGGTTAGTTTCATTATTCTGTTTTAATGGGTGTTAATATAAATAATATGCCTCTTACTTTTAAACATCATCATCATCAGTGGTGCTACCACCCTGTTCTGCTCCACCACGTCCTTTCATTCGGATCAATCCTTGGCTTTCTGCCTCCATATGGGACCCCTCAGCTGGTGTAAGTCCTTCTCTACATCATCGATCCATCTCAGTCTTGGACGACTGGTGAGCTGTCTGCCCCAAGGTTTCTGCTTGTAGGTCACTTTTGCTGCTCTACCCTCATCTCCTTAGGAGCATAGTCTTTCACTCTCTGGTTTAAACTTAATGACTGCATCTATGTCTCTCTTTTGACCGCAGACCCTTTTCCTAAGGTGTTTGTGTTGTTTCCACTGTAGATTATTGTATATTCCTTAGTACTTAGTGTATCAAGAGTCTTTTCAACTGATCTCCTGCAGTGCAGCAACCATGATTCTGTAACTTATCAATTTGTCACTGAGGTGGGCCAATGCTTCTGCTCTGTGTAGACTCTGAACATTCCAGGGTAGCAATCCATAAATCATATCCTTGTCTCATGAAATCCACAAATATCAGTCAGTTTTTTCGTTTGTGACTTACCTTTTGTATCGTTTGATTTTTTTTATGTGACAGGGTTTTCAGCCCTGCGCATAACCATCTGGGGGTGGGGGATGCCCCTTGAAAATCTCAGGGTAGCTGCCTTTGTATTGGATCAGGTCCCTAGCCTTTGCAGATGTGTCCACTTCCTACAAGGAAGTAGGTTCTGATTTTGATCCGACCCAGGTATTATATTTCCCCGGTACCCGCCACCTGGTGGGCTTTCCCCTATCTGCCACCTGGGGAGGCGCTCATTTGAAGATCAGTATCTCACCATGAGACTTTTTAACATCATATTCATTGTTTTGTTTAGATGGATTTAAAATGCAGTGTCGTGTGACCAACAAGCCTTATGATGTCTTCGGTGCCTGGTACGACAACGATCACCTCCTCTCAGGGACATTATACTGGACCGGGGATTTTAATTCCGTATCTGCTGTTTGGCTTAGCAAGGTATTGGCTGATGCTTAGATAAAAAAACAACAACAATAATCTTGATAGATTTAACCTTTCTGGACTTTGGCTCCACCGGTGAAGCCTGACTTTGTTTTAGCGGGCACCCAATACTCCCTGACTATGTACATTTTTATAAATAGATAATAATATGCTAATTGATTCTTGCATATTCAGTTCTGGTTGCTTAAATGTTTATTAATGATATATTGATTTTTTTTGTATTCATCATACCCTAGTTTAAGTTAAGATAATTAATTTTAAGCTAGTGGTCTCAAACTTGAAGCTTGTGTGCAGCATGCAGCCTTCCAAGTCCAAGCATTCTCCTGAACATTGATCTGTTTTTCATATTGTGATAAGACACAAAGACATAATTCTATGTAGGGGTGTCGCAGCACCTATGCCATCATCACTTTATCTTCACTGGGTTTGAGACCCCACTTCTCAGTGACGAAGTTACACCGGAAATAATCCTAACCTTATGATAACCAACATTTAAAAAAAAAAAACTATTTTCCCAGTTTGACATTAGCATAATTTGTTTTCTGAATTGTTTGTGTGTGTATTTTTGTGTGTGTTTACTACGCTCTTATGTTTCTGTAGGCATCACAAGAAGTGGAGTCCGAGGTAGAGTCTGTTAGCATGGTTCTGTACAGGTTTGAAAATATCAACTCCAGCTCTATTCGACTACTTCACGTGGCTGAGGTTAGAGTTAATTGGAAGCTTAAATATTTTTTTTGAAAAGTTCATTCACACCTAAGGAGACATAAATTATAAATGACTCGTGCAAACTGAGACTCATACCTGACCTAACCCTAAACATTACCATTCTACCAAATTGAGACTCATACCTGACCTAACCCTAACCATTACCATTCTACCAAATTGAGACTCATGCTTGACCATCACCATTCTACCAAATTGACACTCATGCTTGACCATCACCATTCTACCAAATTGAGACTCATACCTGACCATCACCATTCTACCAAATTGAGACTCATACCTGACCATCACCATTCTACCAAACTGAGACTCATACCTGACCATCACCATTCTACCAAACTGAAACTCATACCTGACCATCACCATTCTACCAAACTGAGACTCATACCTGACCATCACCATTCTACCAAACTGAGACTCATACCTATCCTCACCATTCTACCAAACTGAGACTCATACCTGACCATCACCATTCTACCAAACTGAGACTCATACCTGACCATCACCATTCTACCAAACTGAGACTCATACCTGTCCTCACCATTCTACCAAACTGAGACTCATACCTGTCCTCACCATTCTACCAAACTGAGACTCATACCTGACCATCACCATTCTACCAAACTGAGACTCATACCTGTCCTCACCATTCTACCAAACTGAGACTCATACCTGACCTTTACAGTTCTACCAAACTGAGACTCGCACCTGACCATCACCATTCTACCAAACTGAGACTCATACCTGACCTTTACAGTTCTACCAAACTGAGACTCGCACCTGACCATCACCATTCTACCAAACTGAAACTCATACCTGACCTTTACAGTTCTACCAAACTGAGACTCGCACCTGACCTTCACCATTCTAACAAACTGAGACTCGCACCTGACCTTCACCATTCTACCAAGTTTGTTTATAACAGTAACATGTTTTAACATTCAATGAAAACTTTTGTCTGTCTGACACCAGGTAGAGAAAGATGAATCAATGAATGAGATGGTCGTGGAGAAAGATGACCTTGACCTCAGTGACAGTACCAACATCAGTACCAGAAGTAGCAGCGTGGGTCCAGAAGAAAGTTCTTTGCACAGCAATCCAGCAGCAAAGGCGGCGGCGGCGGCGGCCTATAGCAAATGTGCTTGCCGAGACAAGGTCCAGACGACCTATTCGTTCGACCACCTGCTGAGGAAGGTGATTGCCGAGGATGAGTTCGACATTGAAAATGAAGACAAAACAGACAATGAAGATGATGATGACGGGGTGGATGTAAATGAGATGAATGAAGATAGGAGCTACGAGCGGTACATTGAAACCTGTGAAAGTCTGGACAGCACGATGAAGCCAGATGAGTGGAGTGCTGCTGACCCCAGTACAGAAAGCAGATCACCCGTCTTCACATCCCCCAGTGCCCCAGATAGCTTTTCTCCCACTGAATTTAATGTGCCAACGGCATCTTCTCAACAAAATGATGTTATGTCTGATGCAGATGACGTCTCATGGGTGTCTGCTCATTCAGGTCAAAATTTTGCCTCCTATGATGATGGCGATGACATGAAATTAGACTTCCGCACATGTGGAGCCAGTGAAGGTCTGGCGTCAGAATTCTGTACCCCTAGAGAAGAACTAAGC